TCTTTCATCTGGTTTTCATCAGATCGAAATGGATCCGGAATCAATTGAAAAAACAGCTTTTAGTGTCGAGAATGGTCATTTTGAGTTTGTTAGAATGCCTTTCGGATTGAAAAATGCCCCCGCGACATTTCAGCGCGTCATGGATAATGTTTTGCGTGATGTACAGGGAAAGGTTTGTCTAGTATACATGGACGATATCATAGTATTTTCGTCATCCCTAGAAGAACACATCAAACATCTTAAACTTGTTTTCCAAAAACTGCGACAAGCTAGACTAAAAATTCAACTAGATAAAACGGAATTCCTACGAACCGAAGTAGAATTTTTGGGTCACATAATAACAAAAAACGGAATTAAACCGAATCCCAAGAAAATTATTGCAATCCAGAAATTTCCTGTACCGAAAACAGCAAAAGACATAAAATCTTTTCTAGGCCTTCTAGGATACTATAGAAGATTTATTAACGGATTTGCAAAACTCACCAAGCCATTCACAAATTGCCTAAAGAAAGGAGCGACCATCAAACACACGCCAGAATTTCTAGAAGCATTCGATCTTTGTAAAAATATCTTGTGCAATGATCCAATACTACAATATCCAGATTTCGAAAAACCTTTTATATTGACAACGGACGCCTCTAATGTTTCTATAGGAGCGGTTCTCAGCCAAGGAAAAATTGGTAGTGATCTTCCCATAGCCTTTGCCTCTAGGACATTGAACCCGGCTGAAAGCAATTACTCAACCATAGAGAAAGAATTATTAGCAATCGTGTGGTCAACAAAATATTTCCGACCATATTTATTTGGCCGAAAATTTGTGATAGTTACCGATCACAAACCTCTACAATACCTGTTTAATATGAAAGAACCAAATTCCAGATTGCTAAGATGGCGACTAAAACTGGAAGAGTTTGATTACATAGTTCATTATAGGAAGGGCAAACTGAACACTAACGCTGATGCCCTATCACGCATCGAACTAAATATGATAGATAAAGAGTCACTTTTCGGAAATCCTGGAGATATTAATGAAGATATCGATAAATACATACATGAAGAAGATCAAAATATAAGCCTTGAACAATTGGAACAAATTGAAGACGTGTTTAACCCTCTAGAAAATGTAAACACTCCAAAAATTAATATCATCTCGGACATTCAAATTAAACCGCCAAATATTCCTAATACTGGTAAGACAGTACACTCAGCAGCTGAAGATCCAATATTAAATATACCAATTACCGAAAATATTTTAAATACTTACTCTAATCAAATAATATTTAACCAAAAAACAAACGGTCGTTATCACGTGATTAGGAGTTACCCATTCCAAAATAAATCTAGATTTTCTGTTTATTTAAGTCAAAACTATCAAAATGAAATAATTAAATTCTTTTTAGATTATTTGGATCCAACAAAAATGTACTGCCTTTATGTACAAAACACCGAAATAGATTTAAATCGAGAACTATCTGTTTTGTTACCAAATACATTTAAAAACCGTGCTTACAAATTGGTAATATCGAAAACTCTTTTAACTGACGTCACTGACAGGACAAAACAAAAAGACCTAATTGCATATCATCATGAAAAAACCTGTCATCGAGGAATTAATGAAAGCCTAATAGCATTAAAAAGGCTCTATTATTGGCCAAATATGAAAACTGATTTAACTGAATATATTAATAATTGTGACACGTGCCAACAAACAAAATATGATCGACATCCACCAAAATTAAAGTTTATGTTGACACCGACCCCTTCTGAACCATTAGAATCCATCCATATGGATACTTTTCAAATATGTAACGTAAAATTTCTTACAATTATAGACGTATTTTCACGGTACGCCCAAGCTTATCCGTTAGAACCCGCTTGCACAGCAATTGCTATCTTAGACGGTTTAGCGACCTTTATAAGTCATCACGGCCTACCTCAACAAATAACGTGTGATAATGGTACGGAATTTAAAACGTCTTTGCTTTTAGATTTCTGTAAATTGCATAAAATTGCAATTCATTTTACAACTCCCGGCAATTCTAATAGTAATAGTCCAATAGAGAGATTTCACTCTACTCTTGTTGAATTATATAGGGTACTAAAATTAAAAGAACCTAAAGAAGCCCCTAAAAATTTAATAAAATACGCCATTATAGGTTATAATTCATCAATGCATAGCGTAACAAAACAAAAACCTTTTGACGTTATTAATGGAAAAGTAAACGGTTTAGATCCCTTTGATTTAACGGATGAAATCATTGTAAATAATTATATCACAGATAGACGTGAAAGACTAAAAACTATCTATCAACAAATTTACGAAACATCGTTAGAAACAAAAATACGTTTAAATGAAAAACAAAACGAAAAACGAGAAAATCCACCTGAAATGAAACAAAATACAAAGGTTTACGTTACTGACAAAACAGCAAAACGTAGTAAGGACAAACCCCGAAGAAAACCTGTTATTATAGATCAAGATATTGGGAATAAAATTATTACAAAAAATAAAAAAATAATTCATAAATCTCAGATCCAAAAACCTAAAGCTTTTTCTTCTTCGCAGGTTAATGAACCGGACAACGCTGTTCCTTCTTGCAGCTACGCTGTTATTAGTGATAGCGAATAATGATATTGAAGTTATCCCAATTAAAACACCACTTCTCCCCTTCCGCTTAGGAAATGCTCGAATAATTCAACATCAACATACATTTTTGCATTTTGTAGAAACATCTCAACTTTTTAATCAGTTACGTAATTTAGAATACGCTTACGCTGTAATCTCAAAATCATTAAACTATACAAATAAACATAATTATCAGAATGTACACTATATTAATGGAAATAATTTACTTAATAATGTTCGATATTTAATTACTCAAGTAAAATTTAAACTTGGTAACATAAAACCTAATAACCGTACAAAAAGAGGTTTAATAAATGTTGTAGGTAAATTATCGAAATGGCTTTTTGGCACTCTCGATTCAGAGGATGGACAAAAATACGATAAAATTATCACAGAACTTGTGCGTAGTAAACATTCATCTGACATCCAACTAAAAAAGCAAACCTCGTTGATTCAACAGCTGATTGACAACTATAATGATACTATAACACTTCTACAGAAAAATCAAGAAGCTATTAAAAAACATATAGACATTTTTGAATATAATTCAAATAAAACTATTACTGACATAACTACTTTCATTAAAGCTCAAAATACACTAATGCAAATAATTCTAAATTGCCAAAGTTTTATAACTTTTTTGGATAATTTAGAAAATGCCATTACATTTGCGAAATTAAATACATTACATCCTGTAGTAATATCCGCGGCCGAATTAGAACAAATAATTTTTAAATTGACTGTTCTCTATGGTGATAATCAAATTCTAATTTTTGAAAATCAAAATAATTATTATCAGTTAGCAAACTTACAAGTTAAATTTACAAAAGATAAAATAATTTTTGCCGTCCATATTCCGATTTTTCTTAAAGATATTTTTGAAATATTCCACCTGTTCCCAGTACCTGTGAATCACTCCTTAATTATACCTAATTCACCCTACCTAATATTGGGCACTGACATGCAACAATATCAAGAATCAATCTGCCCAATCATTGAAGACACCTACGTTTGCGAAAATCAACTTACCCAGCCCATCGGTGATTGTGTGACAACCCTCATTAAATATGCCGAAAACAAAAATTGCCACGTAGTCAATGTAAATGTTTCAACGCATGTAATACGACCAATCACTAGTAGATTTGTTTTGATAATACCATCGGAACAGAAACTTAAATTACAAATGAATTGTCAAAACAAAGAAATAGCTTTTATTGAAGAAGCCTGCCTAATCAATGTTCCATATAATTGTGGTATAAGTACCCAAAATACCGAGCTTTGGAATAAAGAAGAAATTTTTAAAGCAAACCCATTCTCACTGCCACCCATTAAAATTGAAAATATGGAACATCACGATGTGAAGTACCAGCCACTCCAACTACAATCGATTGATCTCAATACGATCAAAAAACTACGAGAAGCTGCGAAATCATCGATCCCCGACATTGGTTATGAAATTCATCCAGTCACTTGGAGTCTCGCCACTTCAACAGGAATGATGTTTATTTTAATCTTGTTAATAGTTATAGCATGGAAAATCTACAAGAGCCATTTGCTGCAAGATTCCAAGAAAACCAAGAACGACCAGTCTTCCGAAAACAACCCTTCGTCCCTGTTGTTTTCCACTTCGGAGGGAGGAATTATGTGATAGAAAATGCTGATGAAATGCTAGCTTCAGTATATCCGGTATCTGCGACGCGACGCTTGCATAAAAACTTTATATATATAACAAATCTGTGCTTTGCGTCCAGTTCTCCTTGTAGCGGGTTAAAGAAAACCTCGTAGTTCTGTTTGCAAAATAAAAAAGTGTTTTTTAAAAACGAGATCCTTCGTTTGAAAACCTTAACTTACAACAGTGCACATTTGTTGGTAACTCTCATGATATAGTACCAATAGCATTTACTATATGAAAAACGTTTTTGACTAAGCTCACGCGAATTATTCATGTTTCACGCAATTTTTGACTCATCTGTGTGGCGATACAAATCCACAAGAAATTCTCTTACATAGATAAAAACAAAAATAACCATGATCAAAGAGAGGCAGGAAAATGAAATTTGATTAACAAGAATTTGTGCTAAATTAAAGATTTTGACGTTTAACCCAAACTATATAAATTATTTTATTTGGGAACAGTTTGACATTTTTAAGTAACGTGATCCTAATGAAGTTTTTACACCTTGTCAAATACTATATTTTGATTGGATATTAGTTATCCTTTCACCCTTAAATTTAAAATTTTTAAAACTTTTTTGACTAAACAAACTGACGCCATCTAAAAATCAAAGTAATGTTCAGCTTTATAATGCTACGCGAATAATCAGGCAAAAATCTGTTTATCAAATTAGAAGTCTTCTCTCGTCTTTGGAGTTACCTGTCTGGTAAGATGGATATCCTCTTCCTCTTGGTTTTTTTTCTGTGATCCGTAATCGTAGACATCAAAGTAGTTGTTGTCGATTGGCGTCAGCGCTGACGTGTACACCGGCGTCAGAGCGGATCCCGCCGGACTATAGCCCGACGGGCTAAAATTGGAACCCTTGGGTGATAGATTGGGCGATACCGACAAAGGGCTGTAATGGGAACTGGCGCGTGAAGATCCCGTGCTCGCGTTGTGCCTGGGAGTCACTTCTCTGTAATGGAAATTGCTTGTCATACACTAGGCCCCGGTTACGCTGGTGTCCAAATTTTCATAAAATTAAACTTGTCTTGCGTCATTTATGAATGTCAATAAGTCTAATAGACTTTATTAGATAACGATTGCATGAGAAAATTTTTCAAAGAAACTTCCACAGGCTGCTATAATACTTTTTACAAAACTTCTGAATTCCTCCTGCGTCGGTTTTTGCTGAGTTGAAATTGTTGACGTTTCGCTAATCATCATGTTGGCTTCTTCAGTTTCAGTCAAGCTCTGAAGAAGCCAACTGAATGATTGGCGAAACGTCAGCAATTTCGACTCAGCAAAAAAGTGCATGAGAAAACTTTTTTGTTAGGCATAGACTAAATTTTCAAAAGCAGCTGAGGCCAATCCTAGAAATCCTGATCTGATAAAAGACGGCAAAAAATGAAACCTAAGATAAAAGGTAAAATATATATCAAAAGGTAGGAGAGAAAATCCCCGCCCTTAAATGACATTGACATTCGATTATAAAACACCCTGCAGAATTTATTTGTAAATGATAAAATTTGCCTATAAGTGCTCAGTTTTCGATCATCGCTAAATTGCGCTTTTTAAGTAAAAATAAATAGCGGCTTTCTTCTCTGCACATCTGTCAGCCCTACAATCTTTCCAACCAAAAAATTAAACAACTAAACAACAAGTAGCAACCTGTGATTGGGTGGCAATATTAATCGTGCCACGGTAATCAATTTAACACCATTATATCCGCTTTGTAGGAATTTGCTTTTGACATCGCTGGTTAGTGGCCAATCTTTCCCTTTCCCGCCACCAGAAGCAACCAAACTTGCGCTTGACTTGTCTCTTTTAAATTTTTTTTTTTGGTAAATTTTTATTTTCAACTTTAATTCTTCCAACAGGATATTATACGATTTGTTTGTTGGCAGTATTGTTAATTAAATATTCAAATTATACTTTGAAATTGTTTTAAAATTTTAAAATATGTATACTGGGGGGCACAGGCATTGCAACATTGCAAATTTATTATTTATTAATATAGTGGGACGTATGGGAAGTATGGGAAGGGATAAATAGGAATAACAGTAAAACGACTGTAGGGAAAGGCACTATAATTTTACTTTTAAACACGACCGGATCCCTCTCGGGACCCTTACAATCGTCACATAAGGAATATGGCTAAGACCACTAAGTCCTACAATTCAACAATGATTTATAACTCTCTCTCATTACAAAACAGAGCATATCTGCGTCTATTGGTTAATGTCAATACCAACCGACTGATGACTGATGGCCATAAACTCTGATTAAATAAATCGAGTGTACTGGTTAGTTTTGGAAAGCACATCCCGGCAGTCTGTCGCAGACTTACTATCCTATGGTCTGTTCATAGATATAAGAAAGGGACCAATTGCTTTTGAATGGGATTATCCAAGGGTGGTCATTAACATATAATGCAACAAGATTATTACCTAAAATTTCGGAATTTAAAGTCAGGTAAAATTGTGGTCCGTAATAGCGTGCGGGAAGCGTCACTTTACGATGACAGTTTCGTTTCCCACGAATCTGAGTCACTTCGGACATTTCCGGGATTTTACCGCACGGGTTTGGGAGCAATCGAAATTTTTCGGAGATATTTCCCATGCTTTGAATTTTGACCTTTGTCGTGTTGTTTTGCGAAATTGTAGCCAAAAACTAACGGTCGTTAGAAAAGTATTTTGTGTGTAACACAGCGTGTGTTGAATCGTGTATGAATTATCCAAAATATGTGCGAGTCTAGTGGATTTATTTGAAAGTTGGTTTAAAAATAAACTAGTTCCAAATATTCCTCCTAATAGCGTAATTGTAATGGACAATGCAAGTTATCACAGTAGACAGTTGACTAAAACCCTTTCCTCATGTGACACAAAAGCAACAATCCAAAACTACATGTATAATGACGACATTTAATTTCACGATTATACCAAAAAGCAATTAATTGAGGTTCTACAACGTTTGAACCTACAAAACGAATACGTCTGTGATAATTATGCAAAAAATCTAGGGCATACAGTTATCACTGTATATTTAATCCCATTGAACATGTTTGGCACCAACTGAAATCTGCCATTCGTCGTAACAATGTTTTTCCCCGTGTTAACTCCAATGTCCTCAAACTTATAGAAACCGAAGTTTTTAACATCCCTCCACAAAGTTGGGCAAATTCTGTTAAACATATAGAAAAAGCAGAACAATCGTATATTCATATTGCAAATAATATATAACAAATAATAATTAGAACAGGCGATGATAGCCATAGAAATACTGATGTATTATGTGAATAATTTTAGGTAATTTAAGTAGGTAATAAAAATAATTTGTAATTTTATTTTAGATTTAAACATAAATACATACATACATAAATAAATAAATATTCTTTAGTATCTTTCCTAACAAACCCCAAATAATTAAATTCTAAGCAAAGTACGGACCTGTTCGGTCATATTTCATTCTTACAGCTTGCCCGGGTCTTTCCTTAATTCGTATCAGTTAGTCACTTTCTTATATTTATAAACAGTCTTTACCTCGATCAAATTCACTGAATAGCTCTAAGCAAGTTCTATAAAAAATATAGTAAAACCTGTTTATTTTTTTGTAAAATTAAATTTGAGCATTTGACGAAACGTACTATGTTTCACACAAAATATTTTCACATTCTTATTAATTCACATTTTAAAAGAAAAGTTTACTTTTACGTGAATTCTAGTGCAAACGTTCATTTTTTTTTTAAAGCCGAACGCAAGCCGTGAAAGTGAAAGGCAAGATGTTTCCGTTCCCGAAATTTTTTAATAGCCGCTCCTAAATTTTCCGAGACCAGATTTTTTGGCCATCATCGGGATAACAATAAAGTTCTCGCGTTTCGTCCGTATATTACGTCCATTATACCCATACGCTTTACGCGCGTATGTTTACATACTTCGCTCGGAACCCAGCCTTGTTTAATTAAGAAAATAATCGAAAACAACCTTGTCTATTTTCGTTTTCAGGCTAACGGGCCATCGGTATAGCTACCCGAGAGTGTTTATCTTAAAAATTCTTCGGCAATTCGGCAATAAAACTCGCGGTAGCCCAGCGGCTCAAATTGTCCAGAACCACATTTTTAATGCCCGTGTCGATCGGGTTTCAGTCCGGAAGCGTTACGTAATTCACAGCTAAATAAATATCTACGGATTCCAAATACGTTTAACAGAAAGTAGGAAAGTGGTCGCATCAGTGGCGTCCAGAAAAACAGCGTGGCTACATATTTGACGTTCTCTTTAGATTTAGTGAAGCCAAACTGTTAGTTTTATAACCACAAGGTAATTTTATTTGTCTGATAACATCTTTGCCATCAGTAGATATAAGACAATAATTTTAGACAGTATACCAACATATTGGACAGACAGGTTGAAACAATAGTTATGCAACAAAAGTATCGGAATGAACCAGAAGGAGACAAAGTAGAAGGTCAAGATGATCTTAAAAAGGTGATATTGAATATCGCTTATTCAATAAACAAAACAGAGAATAATCCGATAAAAACTGCGATAATTAAGGCGATGCGGTAGGAGCAGTATGTAAGCTGTGAGATCGTTTTTTCAATATGACATATATAACCTAGTCCCGTCTACGATCGAAGAACTCGGGCAAACGTGGAAAGTAGAACATTGAACGTTCCACCCGTGCCGCAAGAAGGCGCTGCGTTCTACAGAAGCGAAGCGCCGCTCGCTAGCTGGGCAGTCACTCGAAAACAGAAGCCCGATCGCCTCAAATATAAATAATCCCCGGATATAAATAGAGACTTTATACTAATTACTAGTAGTGTGTAAATGGTAAATAGTAAATACTTTTGGACGCAATAAACTTTAAGTTCCGTTTAATATCACTACTATCAACTTTGAAGTTTCAAATCTGATCAATAGGGATCATCCATATAAAAGCCAATAAAAATTGATCGAATACTATACACAGCTTTTCTTTTTGCAAGGCCTTAAGTTTGATTAGAATTTCAAATCCACTGCCCGAATTAAGTGCGCCTTAATATTTGGTTGGTTTTGGTTAAAAATGTTTTTCATAGAAAGGTGGAAGGTCAACAGAGTCAATACCCAACGCAGGGGAAATTCAAAAAAGTATGTAAATTTTCAGAATTTTTGCAAAAATTTTAAGGGCTGTGTAAAAAAGAAAAAAAAGGAAGAAATTTTGACACATAAATATTAAATGTTTATTTTACTTTCTAGTAAGTATATGCGCTTTAAGCAAACGAAATTATAACATATATTAATTAACTTGATAGGTTTGGAAATAGTAAATCTTGTAGAAGATTTTTAAGCAATACATATACGACTTTTGTAAGTTCAGTGAGGAAGTGTAACTTCAACTTCGCCTTTTGCAATATGTTCTTCTTTTGAAAAACATTTATAGGTAAAAATGGTATCTCGATATTTTCACTACCAACTTTCAAAAATGACGATAACATTTATTTACGATAATTTCTGATTTGATTAAAAATATTTTGAGAGAAATGTCGTGGCAGATTTTTTTCTACAATTTTTCGTTTTGCCACAAAAACATGCAAGTTTCTTATTTGATATGGTATCATGGCTCATAGCGTTGAGCTCTTTTCAATTGTGTATACAGTCATATTAATCTTTATTGGATTGCATGTTTGTTTTATATGGTGGTACTTACAAATATCTGTATGACATTGGATTTGAAGGTACGAACGCGGCACGGGAACACCAAAATCAACCACAACGAACCAACCAATGCGAGCGAAACGAATCAAAAACAACCCGCCGAATCACGCGCTCGAATAATACGGTGTGATCGCGTCGGAGGTTGCAATTCCATCGAAACGGTCTCACAATATTTTAAGAAATCGTTCGAAAATATCGCTTTTATTCTGGCGAAATTCCAAGGCGAATTTTTATCGGCCGTGGGTTTATCCGACTAAAAGAAAACGTTCGACTCAAAATATTTAAAATTCGGATCCTTTATCGTTATACAGGGTGTGGCTGGAACTTACCGCTGCACTACCACTCGGATGTTATTTCCGGCGTTTTTGAACAAGGTTTGGGCGTCCTGGTGGCGGATGTCCCTCGAGTCATAGTTTCCGATTTTCGAAATAACGTCCCCACGTTGCAGAACGCCCTGCGTGGGCGAGCCGAATGCGACCTGCAAAATATGCTTCGGTTTAAAAATCTTCGTTATAGGAATAGTTTTTTTTTAATAAACTGAAATTCCAACTTCGCTCTCTCCTTGACGGTATCTCATTGGAAATTAGCGAACAATTGAGAATAAATTTAAATCGACGGCACCATTTTAGTATGAAGGCAGTTTCGGTTCTACCGAGGGTTGTACTGGACGTGGGCGTCAACTTGCTTATTTTAGATAGAACACCTTGTCGTCTATACAACACAATCCATACGCAGAATATTCTGACAAAGTTCAAGTGTTCTTCTTTTAGAATATTCCCCAAAGATTATTTGATTCTATGAATATTCGCATATTAAGGTCATTGAACCCTGGCATGTCTTCAAACTATTCCTAGGAGTAACTAAAATATTTTTTCAATATTCATGAGTATTCTTGGAAGATAATTGTGCATACGTTTTTTTTTTTCTGAAAATTGCTTGTTATAGTTATAGTTATAGTTTTTCCCTAACAGATCGCTAAAGTTGCAGGTAGAGCAAATTGTCATTTTGATGTTTTCAAGGCGAATTTTGAGTTTGACGTTCAAAAGTACTTTGACAGTCATGTACACCCATATAATCCAGTAAACTTATTCTAGTTTTCACGGAGTTGCAGTGATATAACCGCAGGGATAAAAAATCAATACCAAAACCATAGTGTGCATTTTTTTTAGGTCTGTTTTAAGGCCTGTTTATCTTTGCAATTTCTGGTGTTACACAATTTCGCTTTTGCCAAACAGGAATAATAAAATTGGACACAAGTCAATTTTAAATGTGCATATGTAACGACGCTAGGAGAGCTTTTGGCTTGCACTTAGGCGTGCTGTTGCAAAACCCGACCCAGAAAAGAAATTGTGCAATGCAGAGTCGTATTGCTTGACGTAAACATAACGAGCGTGGATTATGATAAAATGTCAAAAGTGGCCAAGCATATTCAAGAATTAATTTGACCACCTTACAGTAAATAATTTTAATTGTGTCATCATTATTAAATTGGCAATCTGCTTGTTCTGCACAAGGTTTCATTTATCTGACCCACACCTTACTTACTGTCAAGACACATGCCTCTAATCAAACAGGTGCTCTCCAATACAATGATAGTTATACTTAGTTTAACGTTCACATATTTGCAACCCTTTCAATTTAGTATAAATTGAAAACAGGTTATTTTCAAAGTTCATTCCGAACACTGCGGCGCTCTACGTCTAAACAGTTGGTTGGATTAATAAATTTTCCTTTTATTTAAATTTATAGCTTACTTGTTTTGCACTCCTAATTTTTTCGATACATCATTTAATTTTATTTTAATATAACAACGTCCACCTGTAGAAATTTTAATCTTAATAGATGAACAAATGTTTACATGCTATATAACTATATGATAGCCTTGGTTTCTTACGTTTACAAATTCTTGAGCTACTTTTACAATCCAGAGTTTAGAGGATCACTTGATTTTAATGTCAACTTTATGGGCGCAGTAATTTAATTTCAATTACATTTCTCTCTTTCTTAAATTAAAGTTAAATTATTTGGCTGTGGGTTCACATTGTTCACTGTTCACTGTTCATTTTTTAAATTAATTTAAGTTAGGTTAGTATCTTAAAACCCTTAAGGTTGTATAATAATCACAAATAAACACTTAAGTTGATCGGAGACCCTAAAACTGCTACATCATAAAGCTTTTGGGGTAAGAACGCGAGGTATAGAACGCGTCAATGGGGGTTGAGGACTGCGCCTGGGGACTGCGCGATATATTTATCATCCGACGTCTGCCGCGATGTTTAGAAAGGCCCTTACCTTCGTGACAATCAGAGGAGTTTTGACGTCGGCGCCGCCCACCAAACTGAACCCCCAGGGCTGAGCCGGAGAACTCCTCTGTAGATCGAGCAATACCTCGCGGAATTTTCCCATCGGTCGATCGACCGCAAGTTACGCGATTCGCGGCAAACGCTACAGCGTCACTGCACGCGGAAAACACCCGCCAACTCGATCCGTCAATAACCGGGCAGGGCCTACTTAACTCCGGGAATAACCGCGACCTTTAAGGGCGGCGAAACGAAGAATTAAGTGCGCTGCGTAGGTAGTTCGGCAACGGTATCGGTTTGGCATTGATTGGTGAAACCCGGGATCCGTGTTCCCCTCCCGTAGGAACCGCATATTCGACGACGTAGGGACATTGTGATGCAGAAATAAACCAAACTTTTCACTCGCCGGCAAGGCAAACTAGATGCAGCGTTTCGCTTGCACTTATGTTGCCGAAAAAAAATGGCGATACGTCGTCGTTTTCAAAAAGATGACGCTATATAATGATATGTATACAAAGTGTTTATGCCTTGGGTATAAAGGGTAACTCTTTGACTGAACTTAGGATATGGCTTGACTCTTAAGACATTAACCTAACTACGCTTAGATTGTTTTAAGTTAACAACTCGAAAGAAATCCTAGTAATTTGCTTGGCTTTACTCAATGTTCCATCTGATCCATATACATGCGCCACCGCTCGACTGAAGATTCGTCATTCCAAACAAAGAGAAAAAAGTTCATAGAAACGTAAGTCCACAAATCTTGAGTTTCCAAGACATGAAGTTTTAAGCATAAAAAAATGCATTTTTTGGTGTATTTTTGACAAATTTGGCAATGTCGTCACTTATATAAGAGCTAATTTTGTTCTAACTAATAATTAAATAATAGTATTGACAAAGAAGTGTACGCCACTGAATTTTTTGCTATTTTTGTTGTCTTGAATAAGCTATTAAGATGAACATTAATTTGATATACAATAAACTTAGTTCTAGAGCAATAACACCAATGAAAATGACCACTAGCATCAGCTTCGTTGGAAGTATCTAGCCTCCAACGATGTAAGGATTTTCGCGCTCGGCCGCAAAGCCGATTTTTGGAAATTAAGCGTTTAAGTTTATATGAACTTTCTTTTCTTTTTGATGACGAATTTCCACCCGAGTGTTGGCGCATGTTCTTTCACCATAGCATTGTGTGTCATTTTTTAATAGTTGAACCTATTCGTCATTTTGAATGTGTTTTCGAAACGTTCAAAAACATAACCACTAACCAATAAATAAACGGCTTGGTATTATGACGATTTAACTGTTTCATCTCAGTAGGAGGTAGGTAATACAAGTATGGTAAACGGCATTTGAGTCACGCGTTTATTTGGCACGAGCGGGGCAAATGAGTGACTTAAAATTTTATCTACCATAAATGTTGCATACTATACTTTTTGTGCGACCGTTAGTCTTGGTAAAATTATGCTCTCCGCACGCTAGATTGGTGTATAATTGGACATTTTAAATAAAGGAATAGAAAATTAGTATATTATGCAACAAGTGCGGTAAATGGCATTTGACTCACGAGGAGTCGGTAAAATAACGGAAATATTCGAAGTGACTCGGATCCGTGGGAAACGAAACTATAGTAGTGCGGCGCTTCCAGCACGCTAGATCGGTGTGTTAGGCATTTTACAGAAGGGAGTAGGAAAATAAGATTTCTTAGTATCAGCCTGCGCAAACGTCGACGTGAGCCATCTTTGATTTCGTAGGTCAAGAATTAGGAGCTAGAGTAGTTTTACATGATTTTTTTTAATCAACAAAGTTTTTAAAGATATTTATCATATCCATAATTCCTGGATAACTTGGCTTTTACGCTGAGTCCAGTATGTAAATGCATAATATGAATAGTTAATAAAATAAGAAATCACAGAAGGAAATTAAATCTGGCGCCTTTAAAAATGTAAACAGGAGTCGCGTCACTGCGCTCCTGCGCAACACATAACATTAGCAGGTTTCTTTGATTTGTTTCATAGTAAATTGTTGCCGCTTTTTGCTGCGCCAATTTTTTCAAATTTATGGGTACCTAAAAGTTCTAAATTTATGGTACAAGCTCTAGGCTGTGGATTTAAAGCAGCTTGGGGCTGTATCTTCCATTATTTGTCCTTGCAACTGGCTACATGCTTGATATACTGAAGCTATAAATCCAAAATTATTTTAAACTCTTTATTTATTCTTTAATCTATTAATTTTTAATGCGCCGACAAAAAAAGCGTTATCTTTGCGAGGCGTTCATATCCACGTCAACCGAAATCTCTAACTCACTTTCTTTTTGCCTGTATTGGTCCGGTAATTCCAGAACGACGGCCTCTGATAGGACATGCCTCGTTATCAGGTCGCTGGAAATCTCGTAAAATACTGGCACGCCGATTTTTTGGAATAATTTACGGATATTAGACCTGGTGGGGGAGTACTTCGCGGGCCCAGATGAGTATTTTTAGTCAGTTTTATTGTGGTATTTATACGGGCGACAGCTGTTTGGCAACGTTTCGAATAAAATTTCGATTAGGTTTTTCGGGCGTTGCCGAACCATATGCCGCAGAGCGAAAAGTTTTTCGGACGTTCCGCAGCGCCATCTTTACACGTCTTACACTATACGAGAGTCTTAAAAAGGATATCTATGTTCTGCTTGTTTCAATTAACAGGATACCTAAATTTGTTTAGAATTGTTCTTTTCCCTATCATGTACAAGTTGTCCACTTTTATCTGTCTACAAATCCATTTTTTTTAAGAAAATATACAGGGCATTCTTCTCTGAAAGACCTCATAATCGACTGGTCTTGTATATGAGTCTGATGCACCATCATAAAAGCGGTAACATTTATCTAAAAATATTTTCATTTTTCGCTGGGTTGTTAAAAAATTAGTTAGGATCGATAAACGACATTGAAAAATCCCGGTATATACATATCTCTTTCTATGACATAAAAATTACTGTGAGAAATTCATGCACTTATATTTATATAGATAGGTATAGGTAAGTAATTATGGTAACTAATTATGGTGGTAGACAGGATGTAACTTTTTCAAAAAAAAATTAGGTTAATTATGCTCATTATTCATAACCCTATAACTCTTATAACGCGTTTTCTTCTACCATTATCTTGTTGATGTTAAATTAAATTATATATTATAATACCTATAGTACTTTAACAACCATATAACTTTTAGATAATTTTGATATTTTCGTAGCGTGACTTAACATTCCAACTGCAATTTGCGCCATTTTTTTTGTAAGCAGCGATATCCACACATCAAATTCCTTTTTGCTTGAAGATCTAATGAAATATGGATATATTTTGTAAAAATACTGCAGAAAAATTCTAGGATCTGTCAGCGGTCATGTCGGTTGTCGAATGCTCCAAGTCATTCGTTAAAAACGAGATTTTAAATCTCCCGCATGTGGATGTTGAATGGACTTTCTCAAAAAAAAAAGTAGTTATATTATCAGCATTAGTAACGGCCTCTATATCTCTAGTGTAAATACGGTTAGTACCAATTGTTGTTTCTTAAATAATAAATAAAAGGATAATTCTTTTTAATCCCAGGATTTTTTTCTTCTTGAATGTTCAGAAAAAGTCTACTTAAATGTATTTTCCTTGTAATCGAAAATTCAATAACCACATGAAATAGTTTCAAGTAGGGGACTAGAACCAGACATTTAACCATACAATAAATATGAATACTCTTGAAGCCGGCTCTGTTCTTTGTGGAATCACAGCCATGTTTTCTGTGATGGAGTGGAAATCAAAATAGTAAGGTTATATTGTTAGTGCCAGGAACTCTCCCACAGAACTAAAAAGAAGAAGATTATATTGTGTGATCGCATGTAAAAAGAGAGGTTAGATCTAAAATATAAAAAAATATATATATATTTTGATTCTGTGGTCCTGGAGTTTTTCTTCACTTCAATCGTCAGTTCACTTTTTTTATTTTGAGGTCAATTTCGTTAAAGACTAAATATTTATTACTATTATTATATTCTAATCTAATTGTAGTATTCGTAATCTCAGACGGTTTATAAATAATAAGAGTTCTCAGAGCTATGAGATTTTTTTAATAAATGTTGAATTATCTTCAAAATGTTTCAAGCGGGAATATGCAAAATTAAATCAGAGTATGTATGAATAAATGCATTAAGTTGGTACCGAACTTTTCGATTTTTAGGTATGTTTTGCCAGAAACTGAAAGGGTTATTAATCTAAATTTAGTGTCTGATAAGGACAAGTCAAATATCTCTGACAAAGATGAGGAACCTGACTTGAAAAAGCAAAGATTTAGCAAACGTGATAAGAAAAAACTCAAAGGACAGAATAAAGCACGGGGTCCTACATTTCATGTAAATAAAAAGTCCGAACTTTGCGATTACTACTTAGAGTTGACTGAGGGTCAAGACTTACCCAGATGTGAGCGCAAAAATTGTCAAAATTTGCATGACATAGCAACATACTTGCAACAAAAACCAAAAGATATTGGTGAATCATGTTATAATTTTCAGCAGACTGGTAAATGTGAAAGGGGCCTTACTTGCAGATTTGGTAGTGAACACATAAGAAATGATAGAAATTTAATAGATTTAGATAAATTCCAAATTAATGAAAATCAACGGTTATCTACCAAAAACCTATTGACAAAGGATCTTCAGTGGTCTTTAAGAAAAAGAACGTACAACTTTAATTTGTCTGACAAATTGATCCAATTTAATGATCAGCTTTACAAGGAATCAGGTGAAAATAGCGAGGCTACTTCTGGTGCAATAACTGATGAGGACATTATTAAATTAAAAAAACGGGAAAGGAAAAACATTATTTGGGCTGACAAACTGGTACTAAGCCCATTAACAACAGTAGGAAATCTTCCTTTTAGAAGGATATGTAAGGAGTTTGGGGCTGATGTTACTTGTGGGGAAATGGCAATGTGTTCTTCTCTACTGCAAGGAGCACCTCAAGAATGGGCTTTGGTAAAGCGACATTTCACAGAAGATATTTTTGGTGTACAATTGTGTGCAAATAATCCACATTTGTTAACTAAATGTGGTCAGTTGTTAGAGCAGGAATGTGAGGTTGACTTTGTAGATTTGAATCTGGGCTGTCCAATAGATTTGGTTTTTAAACAAGGAGCAGGATGTGGCCTTTTGTGCAGAAAGAAAGCTCTCCAATCATGCATTAGAAATTTGAGTGATGTTTTAAGCATTCCTTTAACAATTAAAACTAGAACTGGTGTATACAATAATCAAAATGTGGCCCATATTCTGGCACCACAATTTCGAGACTGGGGAGCCAGTATGATCACAATACATGGGAGGTCACGTGAACAGCGCTACACTAAATCTGCAGACTGGCAGTATATCCGTGAAGTTGCAAAAGCTGCTTCTCCATTGCCAGTGTTAGGAAACGGTGATATTCTTACTTATGATGATTATAAAATTGCAAAAGAAACCGTTCCAGAGTTAGCTGGAGTAATGATTGGCAGGGGGGCATTAATAAAACCTTGGTTGTTTAAAGAAATTAAAGAAAAGAAACTTTGGGATATTTCAAGTTTAGAACGACTAGATATTATCAAAAAATATGTGAATTATGGATTAGAGCATTGGGGATCTGACAATAAGGGAGTAGAAAATACCAGACGGTTTTTGCTAGAGTGGTTGTCATTTTTATACAGGTACATACCCGTAGGAATTTTAGAACATCCTCCACAGAAAATAAATGAAAGACCACCACTTTACAAAGGGCGGGACGAATTAGAGACTCTTATGTCATCTCCTTCAGCGAGTGATTGGATCAAGATCAGTGAAATGCTTCTGGGACCTGTGCCACAAGATTTTCATTTTTTGCCCAAGCACAAAGCCAGTTCTTATCAATGAAAAAGGTTTAAATAAATCCAACTAAGTTTAACTTGCCAAAAAAAAAGAACAGAAAAAATTATAAACTTTAATAAATTACTACATGCCTAACTAGTATCAGTCGGTTTTTTGGTTTTCAACTCTTTTTTGTTGAGAAATATATTCAAGCAGATCATTTAAGCCATCAAATTCAGTCCTTCCCTGGGGTGGATTATTTTTTGGTATATTTGGCAAGAGTTTTCCCATTTTATCTCTAAATTCAGCTAACTACAACAAAATTATTTTACTATAAACAATATAAGACAAACAACGTACATCTTTAGCACCCGATAATTTCCATATTCCATAAAAAAATAATCCACAACCTAAATGTGCATACAAGGTTCCCCACCCTAGCGCTCTAAGAGCTAACGCAGCTCCGCTCTCTGGGAGTTGTCTCGTGGGGATCAATCCTCTGCCAAAATACTTAGGGTCTTGTTTTCTAGCTGTTAAAACAGTAGTTCCAAAACCGACAAATGCGGAGATTCCAGACACGACTGCTAAGAAAATACCGGCTAAAATGAACAATTCACTTGATTTTTTATTGCATCTCTATCCTTACCACCTTTGACCCGAAATTCTCGGTTGTTATCCATTAAAGTTGTAAATGAAAACTTAGTAGAATAAAAGACAGATTGGGGTTATGAACAGTTCTTGTTTCTATACTTCCCGTGGGCAATTTAGATAGGATTATTCGGCCAGTCTTCTTGGGGAATTTGGTTTTATCAAAAACAAACCTTGGAGAATGCCTTAATAAAAGGGTCTAGAAAATATCATTACTTGGCGCTGCTATTTACGCAATTTTTCAGCAAGATTTTATTCGTAAAAACATCCACATTCCCACCGACGTAAATAGGATTCGTAACCACAGTTTCCAGTGCGTCAAATGTCCAGATTCTCTCGGACATCTAATTTTTCCATAAAGGGATAGAAGACGGGTATTCTCAGACTAACCCTTTTACCTGGTCGATTGTTGTAGGCTACACATTATTAATAATCGTTCTGTAATCTACACTGATTTTATAAGTTCCCATTTTATCTCTTGAAAATGAGGGACTTTTTTTTTTACAGCAGCATTTGTAATTTTTGCAAACAGATGGGTGATTTGAAAAAGTGTTCTTCCTGTAAAATATGCTCATATTGCAGTCGTCAACATCAAGAACTGGATTGGAAAAACCACAAAGTTCTTTGCAAAATTATCGCACAAAGCAATCAGTCACTCCAGTATAATGTGCGGACATTTTCTGAACTTTCTAATTTTCAAATAAAACAGTCTTTGTTTTGGCAGACAAGACTTGGTAGACCTTTAAAACCTGACGAATCGCAAATGTGGATGTTCCCTCAGGTTTGTGCTGTTTGTTTTACTAGGGCAAATTTAAGACCTTGTGAGATCTGCTTTAATGCATTTTACTGCTCAGAAGAACATAAAAGGAAACATACTCCATTGCATAATCAATTTTGCAAATTATTATATCTGGCAATGCAAGTGGACACATATTGCTTTAGTGGCGGTACACCAAATAAGATTAGATTTAAGGGACCTGTAGGTGTACAGTCCTTGCCGAAAACTGCAGATGACTTTGTAAAGGACTTAACAGATATCAACTTTGTGAATGAGAGACAGTATATCCTGGATTGCGATGAAATTATGTGTGGTGCTACTATATTGTATGGTTTAGAACAATCTCTAAAGTTGTATAACATGAAATTGCTGATGGATTCAATTAGCATTCATTTTATAGGAGCAAGTAATTTTGAACTACATTTAAATTGGCTATATATATTTGAACTACTGCTTCACTGGCTTGAAAACTTGAAAGAGATAAGAATTTTTTTATTTGGTCCAGATATGAAAAATGCAAACTTTGATTTTATGATATTTCAGCAATTAGTTTGCAATTTTTGCCAAACCAAAATTAAATGCCTAACTATGGAGACTTTCACTGGTTTGTATCATGAAAGAATAAGAGACTGTAATAGACCAAATATTGTAATAGCTTTCAATAGTGGGTTACATGAATTTGAGGGAAGTGAAAATGATTTATGGCAATCAACCTTACAGTCAATTAAATGCTGGGAAGCTCCATTGCTATTGACAGCTTATACAGAAGATGAAATTGTTAAAGACTTAGAGAAATTGAAAAATTATTTTCCAATGGAAGTGTTGTGTGAACCTAAAGTTAACCCTTTTGCCAACAAGAGGCCTTTACGGAACTGGGATAGACAGAATGTACCAATTTTTTTTGTTAATGGATATGTCACCATTGTTAAGGAAAAAAGTGTTAACTAAGGTAAGTTTTGATTTGTTGTTTTCCGCATAAAACAAAATAATTAATTTGTTCCTTCGATGACTCTGGCAGTATCTATTTCTTTGTGTTAATTTACCATCACCATTTTTTTTGTGGTCTTGCCATAGGCAAAAGCGGATTTTTTTATTCCATCCTCGCGACCTTGGATAAAATGATTGTGCAATTGATATTAATTGGTTAATTTTTTAATAACTAAGGTGTAAAGCTATTTGTGCCTGATTTTTTCCAATGTCAGGCTTGAAATGCATAATAATGTGCTAAATAAATACCCTATCGGCCTGACTAAAAAATTATATTTAGCTAAACATAGCTGAAATTTAATTCAAATTTTTTGTCTACGGATAAACAGTTGCAGTTTGATTATACTTTCTAGTAAATTTTAAAAGTTCTGTTAATTTGACAACCAATAATGTTTACAAAACTGAACTGATAAAAATTGATAGATGCCTACTGAGAGCATTCCTGTAATAAAGTAACAAATTAAACGCGCAATACAATAAAAGCGATGTATAATAACACCGTTTTTATAAAAAATTCATGTAGGTATTGATTTTAATCAATTCATTTCTTGGCTATATAAGAAGTTAAAATAAAAAAGAGTTTGCTTAGGTATTACTTACCTAAATAATTTGATGTTTTTTGATTAAGTAGTCATTCTCGGATTTTTAAATATATGCTTTAAACGCCATTACTTATGGTGTAGCTATATGTTCAATCTTGATTTTTTTACAGCAAAGGCACTAACGCTTTGCTGTCGTTGATTATATTCTATATTCCCGTCGGGGATGCGGTTTAAGTTTGGGCATTATATATAATTCTTAATGAAATAAATCGCCTTTTCCCTTTTGGTAATATACAAAAAATATCTATAAGTCTGCGATTTTAAGGAAAAATGGTAAAAATATTTTTTATACTCAAAAGTGAGTCAAAAACTGCAATCAAACCATTTAAATCGTTTAAAACGGGTGCCATTACTAAGTCAGAGATTTAGTACCGAAGAAGTTTTTCAGTATATATGCATGGCATCAAATTTCATTTATGACATTAACTATAAAAACCGCGTTTACCGAAATATAAGTAAATTTTACAGAGAAACCAAAGCAAAAGCAAAAATAAGACGCCACAAATTAATTACTCTATAATTCGTATTTTAGTCGAGCCTGGCTTTTTATAATAATTGCTAAGCAGAATTGTAAATAATGAAAATGTTATATGTTGATACGTGCTTTGTCATGTTTCGAACGGTTGAAAAAGTTATGAATATTTAAGCACGCCTCCAAAAGGAAGGGCGGCGTTGTGAAGTCAAGGTTTAATTTTTAAACTTTTTATGGAAGAGCAATTAGTTCTGCCCGCTAGGTAAATTGCGCGTCAACCAAATGGTTTGTTCCTATAACTATTTACTGGTCTATGCCCACACAAATGAATGTATTCCCAAAACTATTGCTATTACGGATTGCTTAGATATTTTATTTTGGTATATAAGGTGGAGAAACATTCTTGATAATATTTAATCATGTATTAACTGCAGTGGAAACGTCTTTTATAGTGCCTAGTTTCTCTAACGTGTATTTACAGAGTGTCCCATAACTTATTCGTCATAGCTACCTCTTACAAATCAAGATGAGATAAATTATTCAATAAATATGTTTTCAAAGATTGAAAAACGTATAGTATATTATGCAACAAGTGTGGTAAACGGCATTTCAGTCACGAGTTTATTTGGCACGAGCGGAGCCCAGCGGAGCGAGTGTTTAATAAACGAGTAAATTAAAAAAGTTTGAGTCCGGTTCACATTAGCGCAATCATAACAAACAAATTTGCTATATAACTACACTGAACTGTTAAGAAACATGATTCTAATAATCTATTTTATAATGTGTACATTTTTCCAAAACAACACGAATACATTCACTGACATGGCCATCAGAAGTGACAAACGTCAAAATTCAAGTCGTGCGGTAAACAAAACTTCCGATTGGGACACGAAAATCACTTGATAAAGTGACGCTTTCCGCAGGCCGATAAGTTTTGCGACATCCTGTATAGTAATTGTCGTCTTTTATTTTTCTATTCTGTTCTGTTCTAAACTGTTGCGGACGTCCTAACCTTAGTAAGAACTTTCACCGCATAAGCAATTATGTATCCAAAAATTTAATGTGATTGGCTAGGGTCAATTCCCTCCATATACTACAAATACTAGATTGTGGCGTCAAAATACCTTGTCAACTAATGCATTTCGCGTTTCCTTTCGATATAATGCCACTGAGTGTCGCCTTCAGTCAGAGTAACATTTCGAAAAGACAAAAATATTGTATCCCACATTTATATTTTTACGGAGTAGTTTCCTACCTACAAAAAATTAGTTATGCTCGAAATTATTTACATACCGATAAATTATTAATCAATATTTACACGTATTAATGTTAATCTTACAGTTATTAAGGTAATATACGCGAATAGTGCAATTTCTTGACAAGTTGACTGATTCCAAAACGGAGTGTTGTATAGTGTTTGTCGGATTGTTTAATGTTAACGAGAGAGATCCAAGAGATTAATCTAATGCCAAGGTTGAACGGGTCTATGCGAATTCAAGTGTGGAGATTTTAGATATTTTTTTGGGTCATTAAACGATCATTTTTTCAAGGCCGATGTTCTACATATTCATCATTTGTTTGTCTAATATAATAATTTAACCATCAAAAAAACGATGCACATTTTTAAAATCAGTCGGAGCTTTATTTCTTATCAACAAAAAACTACATATTTCGTTTAGGTAAAGTTAGTTTTCGAACAATATGGCTATATGAAAATAAGCGATTTCACTGTATAAAAGATTTTTCACGATCACCAACAAACTAAAACAGTTTTACACAAATTAAGAGAAACATTGCCAGCTTCAAAATTCGGCAATTTTTTTATGTGAAATATGTTTGCTAATAAAATGGTTTAAATATCATCCACAGTTTGCATATGGAGCTCTAAAATGATATTACGCCGACGTATCCCTACTCCGTCGTAGTACATACAGTTCGTGAAAATCGAAAGTAAATTAAGAAGTTGATTGTGGAACGGTCAGTCAGATACAAGAACCACCAGAGTGAGAAACGAACTGTTGGTACGTATCCATTCCATCCAACTCTGTAGTATTAGATTGATTGAACGCAGTAATTTGTATTTTTTTGTGTCGCATTTCTTTTTTCTTCAAAAAAGAAAAATATGCCAAAATATTTCGTCAAGTTCGTGAGCCATGACATTTAATTATTTATATGCAAAATGTAATCCAAACTCTTTTCAAATTTTTGTTTAAAAAATAATTTTGACTTTTTTTTAAATAATTTTTTATACGTAAAGTATAAATAATAATAACACCAAAATTTTGTTTTATCTCCAGTTCATAAGGTAACGTCATCATTCTAGATTGCAGATACAGAGTGGAAACTTATACTCTCTATTATATAAAAATAATAAAGATAGAGTGCGTCATGTAGTCAGTCATGTAGGAAAATTGAGGGGGTCAATGTTGTGTATTTATAGTTTCATAGGCAAATTTTAGATTTATTGTGCCTCCTCCCTATGATATTATTATTGGGAAAAAGATTAATAAGAAAATAAATTTTAAGGTAAAAAAAACCTACAAAAAAGATAAAAACTTTTTCGATATTATTTTAAATAACGATATATATCCTTTTTTTTGAAAATTCGAAAAAACCTTTGGATTTGAAAACCAATGTCCTTAGTTTTCTTAGTTACAAAATAAACTGCGAATTAAAAAATATTCTAATTATAATAGAATAATTTCAGGTAATAGCTATACAGTTACTAAAAACTTTTCGTTCTATACATATTGCTAAATTACCAGTTGCCTTCAATTGATTATACAGAATTAAAAATATGATATTTGAAAATTATCGAGTTCCAGTTTTAGCGGTTACGAAACCCAATTAGTATTGACCGCTGACACCTAACGGTTAATTATTATTCATTCATATGAAAAGGTATTAACTGAAAAAATCTACGATCTATGGAAACTCCCAAATTAAAAACTCGATAAATTTTGACTAAGTTATTAACGTTACAGAATAATTTAGAGGCAAGCACAACTTGACTATGTGCCCAAAAAGTTGTGTGAACGCAATAAATGTATTAATTTACTTAAGTTAAATATATTAACTAGGTTTATGCAATGATTTTGAATTTTGAATCACGTTTTTGTAAATAATTATCAAAATTACACCAATTAGATGTTAGAAGAAAACAAATTAAGTGATAATTTTTCATAACGAAGTTGCCTAACTAGCATTAGCTTAAACTTGGCTGATAGAAAGAACTGGGCAATTGCCTATAGTGTCAGTTCAATGTCGGACATTATTCAGCAGTCATTTCCAATGTCGGACGTACCTTGAAATGCATACTGCTCTCCCGGAAGTTGAATGCACATAATTAAAAAAAAAATAATCCGGGACTTGGTTCAAGCACCACAATATTCTATAATCTAAAATAGAAGATTAACATCAATGTTCTTAAGAAAACCGTAGTTTTGGCCCGAAGATTTCAAAAGTATTTTGATTTGTGAAGTCTGTAGCAATTCAAAGGTGCCTTCATTCGCAAAAATCGATTCAAAATAATCAGACCCATTTTTGTTTTGCTTGAACGGTATACCTGCAATCTTAAACAATAAATTTTAATTCAGATAAACTTTTTATTTCATGCGCGCAAGTCTAATGTCTTAAATACAATCACGCATATCCTTCATTGACTATATCACCTTTACGGTTTAGAAGGAAACTAAGGCTGAAAATCAATCTATACCAAACAAGGCTTTTAAACGGACTTGGCTCGATGCGAAAATGGCTTTCGATGTTAAATCTTAATGTACTTAAAAAAACTCGAAAGAATTCATTGCCGTTTAAGCCGGGAAAACAGAGAGGAGGGTATTTATTGTCGATGTCTTGATTTGAACGATCATAATAGTGTGAATTAGGTAACGTCCATCTGTTTATCCGTATTTACCAAATTAGGTAGCGTTATTCCAGTATCAAGTGAAGAAAATAAAAAATGCACTTTTGATTTATTTTTTAATGTTTCTTATAAATATATGTGTGTTCATAAAACACGAAAAAGTGGTCATTTATAGGAGAATATATCGAAAAATGAGATCCGGGCTCGATTTTGAGAAATATTCAAATATGAAAATCTCACCTTGATAAGTGAACTTGTTTTCGAGCTGCGGATTGATTCTCAAAAGCCTCTATAAATTTTACGAATTTTTTGAAGGGGACTTATTTTTCTTATTTTTTTCCGCTAGTAAAAATACAACCGTCAAATTGCAATTAATTTCGACATACAATACAAACTTACAACTGGTGTATTCGCCCAAAAAAATACCAAAAACAAGTCTTTAAAAAATCGTACTTCAGAAATAAGAAATTATAAGGACTTTTTTCACCCTGTAGTTCGGAAACAACTTGAAGTTTTCATATTTGAACTGGTCTCAAAGATCGGGACGATAATATGATAGTTTGAGATATTTCTTTCACATATATCGAAAAATGCTCAAACTATCATATTTCTGAGAATTTGATCCACCCTGTACTTATATAATTGATAACAGTAACTTAGGAAGATATTTATAATTTAAAGGAAAAAGTGTAAATTCTAAAATGTAAAGGTGATAATTATTACTATAAATCTTCAATTTCGAAATTCTGTTATAGCGACCAGAACAGAAAACAGGTGCGTGTTATTATCAATCACCAACCCAACCCAACCCAATAAGTGTTCACCGGACTCTGCTGATTTTTGTATTAAGTAAAATTATTTATTGTTAATTAAATTTTTGACACTTATTTACAAACTTGAAGAAATATTTTTATTGAAAATATACCAAATATAGGTAGGATTGCTGTCATTAAAATTCCCAGATGATTTACTAATAAGTGAATAACAACTAATAAGTGAAAATTAAATAAATTAATAACCGTTATTATCCCAATTAATTTCAGAGAATGAATAAAGTAATAGCCATTACTACCCTTCTTTCCCTTGCTGGGGCCGTATGGGGCTATTCGGGTGGCGCCCCCGAATCCGTTTGCGGGGATATGATTCCGAAACATCCCGCCGACCCTCAAAAGTCGCCGTTTCCTTACAAGGTCACAGTCGACAATGGTCTAGTCAAGCCGGGACAGGAAGTCAAAATAACGGTGACAGGGAAACCATTTAAGGGATTTATCATCCAGGTCAGGGATGCGAACCAGAAAGCTGTTGGAAGCTTCCTGATACCCGCGGATGACAAGTTCATGAAGGCGATAAATTGTCACACCAATAAAGGGGTAAACCTCGTCCTTATATTTTGACAAATTATTTTTAAATTTGAAGATCCCAAAAGAGATTCATTAAACATTGGTATTATGTCACACAAAATTTAAAAACAGATATAAATCCTAGGGTTTGTTGGTCACATTTTATATTTATCTTTTATTTATATTTTAATACTTTGGCATTGTATACTCTTTTTTCAAATTTTTTTCTTAATTTCTAAAATTTTAATTTAGAGCGCCGCTACTCACAAAAACTCCACGGACAAAAGCGACATCACTTTGGTCTGGAAAGCACCTGAAGCTGCTGGAAAATATACTGTTACGTAAGTTAAATTTGACGGGGGTACTCAATTAGATCAGATTCAAAAATTTCCTTCAACAGAGCCACAATTGCCCAAGATGGGGCCACCTTCTGGACCGCAAAACCCACCGAAGTCATCAATGTAGAATAATTTATTTTAAGCAAATAAAGGTATTTTTAGTAATGTATAAATATCTATTTTTTAGAAAAAAGTGTGATTGTTGTACAGGAATGAGCCCACAAAGATAGATTGAATTTTATTCAGTTCAAATACAATTAGAAATAATAAAATAACTTAGTGAACTTCAAATTGTTTTTGACAGGGCCATTGGCTATTTTCCATTGGAAACCTTGTCCTGCTTGATCTTAAACCTCATAGAATCATTAAAATGCACTTTGCAATTGAAAAAAAAGTACACTAATTCCATGCAACACAAAGGTCAGGAATAAGACCAAGAGTGAACCATCATGTAAAACTACACGAAAGCAATCTTCAACAAAATTTCCACCTGTTTCCACATTCGTTACACAACACAAATGTGGTCATAGGTTCGTCAGATGACCTGGTTTGTAACTGGTTATAAGTACAATTCCTCTTCTTACACTTCCCGCATTTAAGCATGTCAGTTTTCGTACCTGGAAAACAATTGCAAATATGCACTTTACATCTTCAGTGTGAAGTAGGAAAAGACTCTTACCTTGAGCAGTTGCTAGTTGTGCATCATTGATAGCTTCCTTGTTGAATCGATCTCTGAGCTGTTTCACTTCGTCATTGGCCATCTCTTCAGCTGTCATAGTGGCTAATCTTGAAGCTGAAATAGCGCCAATTCGGAAATTAGTCCTCAAAGTGGGATTTTTTGGATCTTTCAGGTTGGCAATCCTTGATCGTACCCTGTTCTTATATCTCATATCTGTGTTCTTAAATTCACTGAAAATTGCTTCTTCTAGTTCATCAGCCAGTTCTTCTGCCGATGCACAACCTAAAATACTTGTAATGTTTACTTTTAAGAATTGTAAAGTACATTCTAATTTCCAAGACTTTTACAAATACAAACCATCAAAATCATCCGGCTTGGAATCAGTTTTAATTGCTGCTGCAAGCATCTCTCTACACTTCAACCTTACTGAATCAGTAGTATTTGATGTGGGAGGAAACTGACTTGGCAATTTCTTTTCTTTATCTTTTTCTCGGTCATCTCTTTTGGGTTTTTCTTCCTTCTCCTTTTTAGGTTTTGCTTCAGAAGAACTGGAGGAAGATTTCTTATTTCCATCATTTGAATCAGATAAAAATTTCTTCCAATTCTTAATTAACAATTTTGATAAGCTTATAACTTCTTCATCTTTGCTAGACTTGCGTAGGGCATTTACAGTCATTCCTATACGTGTTTTTGTCAAAACTTCAAGGTTTATGTTTAAATTTTGCAGTTCTTTTAGCAGATCAAGCGCTTGTTCTTGGCCCTGTAAAGTAATATTGAAAATAGATTGTTTTTAAACGTTTTAAATGGTAAACATACACTTCCATCTTCTGAAGTCATTTTACTTAGTTTTTTTTGTATTCTCATCACTTCTTCTTCCACGCTCATTTTTAATACAATAATACTAGAGTAAAATCGCTAAAATTGGATCGTGTTTCTTTCTAAATAATTAATCAATTTTAGTCTACTCAAAAGCCACACGACATCCACATGAATGAAACCGATTATGACATAAATTACCGCCAAAAGTACCACAATTGGCAGTTAAAACTCTCTGGTAATTTTTAACGTGGTGGTAGTCACAAGACGTGTTACGCTAAACACAGTTATCGATCATCTTATATTAGCACGAAGAATACCTTAAATTCTGTTAAAGAAAATATTCGGTACCGAATTTTCTATTAGAGTTACAACTTGAAATCTATCAACCTCAAACTCCATTCTCTTTTTAAATTTGACGTTGACTGATTAGATAGATAAAATATTTTGAATGTAATTATAATGCGCGGTTGTGCTTAAGCAGTATTTGTTAAGTTGCCTAGACTGTTTTCCCCCCAAATTAAATTCGTGAAATTCCCTGGGATATTGTAGTAAACGAAGGTAAAATTTTATAATGGCTTCCTGCTGAAGGTGGTGGGTGGTCAAAAATGGTATTGTATTGAACTTAGACATTTTAAACACTTTCCGTCAGTACCGCAAGCTTTTCTAATGTAATTTCCTTAGCGGTTTTGTCGTAAAATGATTAGTTTTTGAATATACGTTGAAGTCACTATGTTTTGTGCGGACAAAAACATTAGTATTCTTGCTCGGTGGTGGATAATCCACAGCTGAAATTATCTGTGGCGAACAACGAGGATATTCTGCTTGAAGGTGGGTGAAATTGTATTAGTAATTTTTGCCTCAAAGTAATGATTACATTCTTAACGTGGGTTTATTTTTGATTGCCGCTTAATTGATGTCTGGTCCGAAATATTTTCTATTGTTGCAAATTTCACAGTGTTAATTATAATATTTCTTTCTTCCTGTTTAGGTACCGTCAGTTAATAATACAATTTGTTTTATGGCGCTTTACAGTAATTGTGAACAACAGCATTAAATTTTTTTCTTAACAAAGTTATTTTTTTAACGGCATTTTTTGTTTGGTCTGTTTGAATTACAAACAAGGGTGCATTGGTGCAAGAAAAAACAAGCAAAAACTGTGCCTCTTTAGTTGTATTGAGTAGTGCTCTTTGTTATTCATAGCGCTCTTCTTTAGCCTTTATGTCACCATTTTTACTTAAATAGAGGCTTCTTTTGGAACACGATTTAATTCAGTTCAATTCAACATTCAGTCAAAATTTTTATCACAGAATTTTTAACGCCTGTGATGACTACCCAAACTTAACCAAAATTAAAATATTATTAGTATATATATAAATTCCCTGGATCAAATTATGTAGATCGCCCCCCTTAATCTTCGTTCCATTAACCTACAAGTTTGGGTGGAAATCTTTTACGAGAAATGATGAAATAATGACATCAGTAATGTGACCAATGTCATGGTGACAAATTCGAAAACAGTTACCTGAAAAAAGTGTTTCGAATGAAATTTTAGAGGTGTATACGAATGTTGAAACAATAGCATAGAGAATTTTCCACATTATGGGCGACACTGCCAACCAAAGAAATATTTACCTCGCTGTAGAAAACAAAAAACAGCAGCAAATATTAAAACGGCTTTTGAGTCACGAGTGTTTAAAAAAGTGAGTGACAAAAAGTTTACTAAACTAGGTGCATACTTTACTTTTCTATGACCCGCACATTTTTGCCAAACAACACGAATACATTAACTGACATAACTGTCAGAATTGACAAACGTCAAAATTCAAGCCGTGCGGTAAAATCTCCGAAAACATCCGATTGTTCTCAAACTCGTGCGGTAATATGTCGGAAATGTGCGAAGCGACTCGGATCCGTGGGAAATGAGACTGACGCGGTAAAATAACACTAACAAATAACACAGAAGGGAGTAGAAAATAGTATATTATGCAACAAGTGCTGTAAACGACTTTTGAGTCACGCTCGCTCCGCTCGTGTCAAATAGACGAGTGACTTAAAAAGTTTACCGAATGTGGTGCATGCTATACTATTTCTACGACCGTTAGTTTTTGGGTATATTTTCGCGAAACAACACAAATACAATCACTGGCATGACCTTCAGAATTGATAAACTTCAAAATTCAAGGCGTGTGAAATATCTCCGAAAACATCCGATTGCTCCCAAACTCGTGCATTAAAATCCCAGAAATGTCCGAAGTGGCTCGGATCCGTGGGAAACGAAACTGACGTGGTCGCTTCCCGTACGCTAAATGGGTGAGTAATTAGGCGTTTTACAGACGGGAGTAGAAAAAACATATTTTAGGTACAATTGGAAGATGGTTTGCTTCTGATAACTTGATCAAATTTTCAAATTAAAATAAACATTTTCATGCCAGTTGAAGCGAAAAAAATTCATTTATGCCAATTAAAAAATGTATTTGTATCTACTTTGGTGTATTAGGGGGTCAAGATGCGAGTTTGTTTAAAAGAAAATGACAGAAATTTTGAACATTTTATTTAATTATTTAATTATTTTTTGTCAGTCACAAAAAATCTATTACAAGAGGGTCTTGTTAGTTCTGGCTAACTCCATTTTGCAGAATTGTTTGAAAAAGTTTTTTATTTAGGTCTAGGGAGCTAATAGAAAGTTGCTCTTATTTTTAAATACGAATGAAATTGCATGTAAAAATATGTTTTTCTAGTCTTCGGACACTTCGGACATGTTCGGCACTTTAGTCACGGGTTTGGGAATGATCGATAGATTTTAGTTATGGTATTTTGACGTTTGTCAATTCAGACAATATTAATGGTCATAGAAAAAGCATAGTATGCAACTCGTTTATTAAACACTCTCTCCGGTGCTCTCCGTTGTTTTCCGCTTGTGTCAAGTCAACGCATGACAAAAATGCCGTTTATCAAGCTTGTTGCATAATATACTATTTGTTTTCAGCTTTTAATTTTTTTTTTTGTTTCAGTTTTCAAAAAGAACTCTCCATTTGCTACAGTTGTTAATTTTTTTAAAGCTTTTTGGAGAAATTGACAATTATGCGGTGCTCTGCGCTTGCCATTTTTTAAATCACATTTTCGATATAAAAGCAAGGGGCCACAATTTCAGATATAATCCGAGCTGAATTATTGTTTGAAGGAACATAAAAATAAGTTCCCTGTAGGTGGTGACGATTTAGTCTCATTTTTGTGTTATTATAAAATTGGTTAGTGGGCAGACTGATTATTCCACATGCCACTTTGCTTTCACAGTTTTTTTTATATCCAAGTTGAACGTATCTTTTGGTTGTTATAAACGGTCCTACGCAATTTTTCAGAAAGTGATGTAATTTCATGATGCTATCTTGTCAAAATGTATGTTTTGCCATATAATTTTCTAATTGTGATGCAAAATTTATAAAACTGTATCCGTTATATCTTAAAATATTAGTATACAGTTGCATATGTTAATGTTTGCTTTGTGGTTTAAGTCTGGAGTCTAGAATATTAATTAAATAACGACTTTTTTGAGTGGAAAAATATTTTTGGATTAAAAAATTGTTGCTTAAGAAACTGAGTTAGGCTTAAGACGTTTGAAATGTTTAATACTTTAAGAACTAATATTGTGCATTGTGTTATCATATGAAAAGAATCAGTCGATTAAACAATATAACATAATTAAATTACGCAAAATATGAGGTAGGAAGTGGGATCTGAGAGTCTGAGTTAATGCCCCAAACTTCGCTGTTTTAAAAGTGTTATTAAGTTTTTTGGCCACTAGAGTTAGAACTCTGCTGTGTCATTAAGCTAAGAAATATCATAAACACAAATAGTCAGTTAGACCAAACATCGCCATTTGTACTTTGCATTTGAAAAGTTATTGTTTATCTAAAGTAATTGTCATATCGGAAAAAAATGAATCGTTCTTAGATAACAGCTGTTCTGATGTGGTGGGAGAAGTTTCGGCAGCTTGATGATTTTTTCTATTGGCAACTGTAATGTTCTCCGAATTAAAGTCACACTTTATTTATTAGGGAAGTGTTTATGGAAAAAGTAGCTACATGTTATTAAGCAGTTCTTTATAATTATTGGTAAAAAAATATATTTTACATTTTTATATATATTCCTTAGTTGTAACATTTAGTAACGTCAAAATTATTTTGCGAATGTTGTTACAATAATTACGTGTGTGTGTTTGTCGCAAAATCTCTCAGCGCGCAACAACATGCTGTACTTAGTCTTGTATTGCAATTAACGCAGTTGAGATGCAGTTGCACGTTGTTATTTGAAGTGTTTTTTTGATGAAAACTTGGCGAGCTTGGTATTCACAATGTTTCAGGTAGCCTACACCATGTCCAGAAAGGGAGACACGATCCGAACTATTAACGTCGCTGTAGTGGGGCTCTCCGGCGTCGAGAAAGACAAAGGCCACGCTGGCGTGGGCAAATCATGTCTCTGCAACCGCTTCATTCGGCCACATGCGGAAGACTACAACATTGATCACATTTCGGTGCTCAGTCAAACCGATTTCAGCGGTCGGGTGGTGAATAATGATCACTTTCTTTATTGGGGGGAGGTGATTAAGACGTCAGATGAAGGTACCGATTATCAATTTAGCGTCATCGAGCAGACCGAGTTCATCGACGACGCGTCCTTCCAGCCGTTCAAGGGAGGCAAAATGGAGCCTTACGTCAAGCGCTGCGCATCGACTAAAATAACGTCCGCGGAGAAATTGATGTATATTTGCAAAAATCAATTGGGTATCGAGAAGGAGTATGAACAGAAGGTACTGCCCGATGGTAAATTAAATATAGACGGGTTTATTTGCGTATTTGACGTAAGCGTCGTGCCTAGTCGGAACATAGAAAAACAGGTGGAATTCGTGGCGGCCATATTGAACAACATACAGAAAACCAAAAAACCGGTCGTTGTAGTTACCGCGAAAAACGACGAGTCCAATGACATATACGTCCGCGAGGCTCACAAGTTAGTTCAAAGGAGCGAGTATAAAAATTGCATACCATTGGTGGAGAGTTCCGCCCATGAAAACGTTAATATCGACATCGGATTTCTCTTATTAGCTCAAATAATTGACAAGACAAAGGTGAGATTAAAGTTCTTAACTTACAGCGAGGCCGCGCTGGCGAGAAAAGAAATTATGGACTCAGCTAGTGAGGCTTTCATGAGGCTCATACGGGTACATGTCACAGATTGTCACGCCCTGTGGTCTCACACAGTGAAAAAGCTCAATAGTCACAAAGAGTGGATTCATTTTGTGCAACTGTTTGGCCTTGATGGCACTCAGAGACTTTTTAAGAGGCACATTAAGAAACTGAAGGATGAGCAGTTGGCTAAACAAGTGGCTCGATACATGGAAATGTTACCTGACGTTCTCCACGACCTCATTCCGGGCTTTAATACGTTGGCCGACTCGGATTGGACGTCAATTCAGCAGTACATTAAAAATCACCCCAATTTTTCCCAGTATTTTTTCGAACGGCCAGAGGATATACCCTGGTCAGAGTGCGTCGGGTCAGACAGTGATGAAGCGCGCATTCCCTTTGATGTTTTAGACACCAGCGAAGCCGAAACTGTCTTTAAAAATCACATAAACGTACTGCAGCAAGAACAAAAGCGGCTGGAATACAAAAAACAGTTTAAACAATTGCTGGAGGATACCGGCTACGTAACACCTGGTAAGCATTTGTCTGAAGTCCGTGTGCTGTTCATGGGCCGTGAATGTTTTGAGGCTCTTTCCGAACACGACTGCCAACAGATTTACGAAACGCACCAGAGGGAGTTAATAGAGAACGCGAAACACAATTTTCAAGAACTCCTTTTGGAACACGCGGATTTGTTTTACCATTTTAAGAGCATAGCGCCCACTGGAACCATTACCCAAGATGACATCAAGGAAATAACGGATGTGCTGCAAGAGGACTTCCGGTACAAGATTCTCGATAGATTAGATCAGGACCGGAAGCTCACCCTATTTCAGCATTTGGGTTTTATCCACTATCCAATACGGGAGCATTGTCCTGCATTCCCAAACTGTATGGATTCACTCATTGAACGAATTTTGGCCACCAAAGCCCACAGGCCGTCGTCTTGGAATCACAGCAACCAGTGGCTTATGAGCTCTGACAACAATCAGCTTAATCTTATCATCTTAGGGTTGAATAATTTAGCCGATAATCTGGCCGCAAAGATCAGGGCACAGTGCGATGACGACGAGTACGAAATAAACTGTCAATTTTATAACTTAGATTATAGAATCATCAGCGGGGACGTCAGTTTGCCGCACAACTCATTTAGGACGTCGGATTTTGTACCCCACGGCAGCTTTTGCGTTTATTCTAATGCCGAATCGTTTGAGTATATTCGGGAAAGCTTAGAAAAGAAACTACTCTCTAACTTAGAACAAGAGGACAAGTTACCGTTCCAGGGTTTACCCATAGTGCTTATGTTTCTTCAAGATCCGGCAATAGAGGAAAAAGAAATTTTAAGATTGAAAGAAGACGGCCAGAATTTGGCCGATAGTCTTCAGTGTCCGTTTATGGACGTATCCTTGGAACAAATCACTGAGGAGCAGTTAGTTTCTGATGCTTTGCATCAGCTGGTACAGAGTATTCATCATCGAGCGGGATTCCTGAACATTAATCAATCGGTAATTGAATGTGTTGAACCAGATATTAGAGTGATAATGTGCATGTTTTGCGGTGACCCGTATTCTGTGGAAAATGTTCTCTCCCCACTGTTAAATCATCAATTTTGTTTTCTATCTTCACCGCACAGCGTCATTTTGGAAACTTTCCTAGGCGATTCTAAAAGAAAAGTTGAGGTTATAATATCTTCATTTCACGGTGCTAACGCATTCCGCGACGAATTGGTACACGGATTTATTCTGGTTTACTCTACGAAACGAAAAGCATCACTAGCCACTCTCAATGCCTTTTCAATGAATATTCCGAATCTTCCCATACAAATTTTGGCGGTAACTGATTCCGGAAGTGCTACCGCTTTCTTTAACGACGATCTAAGCCAAATGCTTATAACCGAAGGTAATTCCACCGCCGACAGGTTGGGCGCCCATTTCATGACGTCATCGGCTACCATGCAACCCAAAACTGCGTTTTTCACACCATTCTTTAAAGAAGTATGGGAGAAAAAGCCAGAAATAGAACAGGCTTTCCATATGGAAGAACCTTCAGGATTAGATAGTGGCGAGGGAACGTTAGAGCGGTCGGCCAGGTCCACCAGGCATGGTCATCCTCTTCCGCCACCAAGAAATGAAAGCTACTACCTAAAACTTAACGACGGCAGCGAAAGTGAGAATTTTGAGCTCAGCGGGCCTGACGACAAGCTTAGTTCAAGCGACCACAGTGACCGATTTTCAAATATCTACATGTACGGCAGCGAAGGATCTATGAGTTCCAAAAAGAGATACACCCATTCGGGTTTCCAGGTCTATCCTCCGCCTGCTACCCCACCTGAACCCGCACCTCCGGATAACATAAACACTCGAAACTCGAAAAAGTCACTGCTCTCTTCGCAAACAAGTTTAGATGATGTTAATTACGGTGATCCCCCCATGTCGATACCGGGTAGTGCATGGAACAACTACCAGCACGCCTTTACCACCGGCAGGCGGCATGTTGCGCCCAAATCGCGTTCTAAAGGGTTGTCGCAGACTCTAAAACAACCGGGAAAGTTGAACATGAAGAATTATTCGGCTGTTACGGAAGCTATAGCGCGGATGAATATGAACGAAGTTAACTTTGGAAATGCTCCTCTGGCTACTCCTGAGCCGGTAGATTTGGGTTGTGAGTATGCACAGGTTAAAGATATGGTGCACAATATCTATCCTCCCGACTCCGAATATTTATATACCATGGTTCAAGATGCCATTAGTGTGAAATCCAAGCTAAGACAAAGACGAGAGAAGGGCCAGCCTTCGTACTCGGATTCAGACAGCGAATGGAGTAGTTTGGAAAGGAGGCAAAGAGCTAGCGAAGTTTATTCAAAGGTTAATAGAAAGGGAGGCACTCACAAAAGGCAGAGGAAAAAGAGGACCGCGATACCGGTTCAACCTCCTAGAGTTCCCCAGCTAGGAACTTTTACTCATTCATCAGTCCATTCGCCTTCAGTAGAAGAAGACGACAAAATCAACGTAGCCACTGAATCCAATTCTGACTCTTCTGAGGTTAGTGAGCCTGAGCAATTTACAGCGGCAAATATATCGGACATCCGAATGAAATTTTCGCAAAAACGGTCCCAAAGTCTTAAAAAACGCATTCCAGACCTACCAAATACGCATAACTACAACATTAATTCGCTGGATTTGTATACTGGCCACTCTAATTCTTATAGCCTGATGCACGACGATGAATCTAGTTTGGATGTTTCCTCCCCCAGAGATAATAACTCTCCCATGTTCGGCGTCTTTCCTAAAATGAAAGAGACTGACCTAGATAAGCTCCTGAGGAAGCGAGAGAAACAGAAAGCTAAGGATGATTCCAAAATGGAGAAACGTAGATTAAAAGAGGAAAAACTGAGGAAGGTTGCGGAAGAAAGGGATCGAAAGAAGCTACAGAAATCCAAGCAGAAATGTATGCCACCTGGCGGGGTAGCCGCAAAGTTGGCCGATTATATCCAATCGGACAAGAACTATATTCCGATCTTTATGGAGAAATGCGTCAAGTTCATCGAAGCTGAGGGTCTGGACTTAGAGGGTATCTATAGGGTCCCCGGCAATAGAGCTCACGTGGATCTGCTATTCCAGAAGTTCGAAGAGGATTGCAATGTAGACATACACGAACTGGACATACCAGTGAACGCCGTAGCTACTGCCCTAAAAGATTTCGTGTCCAAAAGGTTACCGCCGTTGTTTGATTCCGAAGTAATGAACGAAATGGAAGAAATAGCGGGCACTAGGATGAAACCCATGGTAACAACAACAGGCAACATTGAGGTCAAAACAGACCGCAGCTGCCGGCTGCTGGCTCTACGAGGTATGTTAGACAAGTTGCCGCCCATTAATTTTCAAATTTTAAAGTTTATGTTCCAACACTTCGTTAAAGTAACTGAGAACTCGAAGTTGAACAGTATGGATAGTAAAAATCTGGCAATTTGCTGGTGGCCCACGCTATTGCCTATAGAGTTTAGTGACATGGGTAGATTTGAACAAATGCGACCCTATCTTGAAGATATCGTGCAGACGATGATAGATCAGTACCCTTTCTTGTTTTGCGGTAAAGAGGCTTTTGTCATGGTGTAATTTGCTTTGGCGGGACGAATCTGGGATTATTATTAGCACACTTGGATCTTATGGGACGTTCAATTTCGTAGAATTAAAAGTCTGTTTGAATGAGATTGGAGTAAGTTATCGCGACCTAGGTTTTATTCATTTCTTTTCGCCCACACCTTAGGTAATGAAAAATATGTGTTGACAACCTACAGGATTCGATTTCCACGTTAGCCGGAAATTAAATGGTTTGTTTGTAATCAATATACGTCCTATTTCCTCTATTTTTGCGAGATACTTTGGAATCTGTGCGTAATAGGGGGATCGCTAATTTTCAGGGCCCAGTGAACTGAGACATATTATCTTTCTCATTTCAAAATATCCGTCCATAGGGACAAAAATGACAAATGTGGGTGCACAATTCTAACACTCCTGCTTGGGGCCGTTCGGTTCACCAATTTGCGAAAAGGCTTATAAAAGGTGTTTCGGTTAAATTCAAGCAGCGGCACAGACGCTTGCTGCTTAACAGCATATTCTCGTCTCTCTCTTTCGAGTCGGCGTATCTCTGTTACACTCTCTCTTGTATCTATGGACAGCTAGTAAGTAAACAGATCAGATAGTCCTATGGCATATATCATGTATGGTAAGGACAAGAAACTATTTTCAATAAAGGTAAAATAAAGTATGCTGTAATTCAAAAACTATCAAGTTCTGATATATTTGTTGTCCGAAGATGACAAAGGCGTCAAATTTTTAATTAGCGATTTCCCCCCAGAAGTATAGGTTTCATCGTGAACATTGACGCAGAATATTACTAAGCTTTAATAAATAAAAGAAAATAAGAAGTGATTGTATTTTTACATGTTAATCCGTATGAGATAATTGAGGAGTCGAGAGGGTAGTTTTTTTACGATTGAACTGTGCGTATGAATTTGTGTTGATTTTAAGTGGGTTCTGTATTCATGTAGTATAGTGAATGTATCCTGTTTCAATATCATCGAGGGATGTAGCGCACGCGCGCTGCACCGCGTCCATTTTCGTAATCTTGAATGTGAAATTTGTAATTTTAAAACTGTTTTACAAAATTGTATTACATATTATGCTGTTCTACACACACAATATAACAAAGGAAACCCGAAGCTTTAACGTTTTCGAATCCCCAATGTAACTGTATGATGCGATGGTTGACGAAAGGATACTACGAGACAATAATATCATTTGGCAATTGGAATAGTAATTGGCGCATTTCCTTACGGTACTACAAGACTTTGACGTTAGGGCCTAAAATAAGAATCTTGCACGGTGCTTCGGGGTAATTTATTTAGATGTGATATTTCTGGTGAAAGTAGGCACGTTTTTATTTTCTACTTCACTTTCGATGTCAACATCAAACAGTTACATTTTTGTTACGTTCTCCACGGTAAATGTATAAAATGTACTTTTGTAGCAATTGTCCAGCACAATATTTTGCAAGACTGAGTCGCATTGTCACGACTTGGAGTGCCAAGTAGTCTAGTGCGAGGGTAAAGCAATGCCTCACCTGGTGGGGTTTGTAGTAATTGTCAATTTGAATAACTTTCTTGAATTTGTTCCGTGTACCACATTCCACTGATAATTGTTTCCTCTTTTCCGCCTTTATTGTTAATTTGGGGTCAAAATCTGTTTACACATTAACGTTTTCGACACTTCACTTATCTTGTCTTCTAAGCTCATGTTTCCATGTGGAACGAATTCAGTAACATTAGCTGTGCTAGAGCCTTTTAAAAACAAATTCAATGTTTCACAAGTATGTACTGCCCAAGAGAATATTAACACGTCGCTGTACTACCCTCACCTAGAAAACTAAGAACTAAACTCACCTCATTAAAATTATAAAAATAAGAGACTAAATATTAATATGGTGTCTGTGGGCGGAGTTTGATCTGCCGTTGCCGAACGATGAGGTGTGGCGAGGTTTAGGTTACTAGCGAGGTTCAAAAAAAGCAAGAGATGTGAAGTGTGGGCGTCGTGAATACAAATGAATTCGGATTCATATGAAAACGTATCAAATGCGATCGTTTCACACAAAAATTCATACTTACTCTTTTACTGATTGGAAAGATTTGGCTTTAGCAATGAACAGTTTTTTTCCCCAATAATTAATACCGCTATATCGATCTGAAATCCAGTTTGTATATTAGTGATATTTAATTTAATAGTATTATAATTTTGGGTATTCATAAATGAGCAGAAACTAAAAGATTTTGTGATATTTTAAATCTTGTATAGGTTAAGGTAATAATCCAAAAATTATAAAAGGGTTCTCGAAGGATTATTTTCTTTTGTTCACAATGTTTATTAGGAATTGATATTCGCTATTGCTCGTGCCGATGTAATAAGTTTTAATTTTTCGCTTTTGAGCTTTGTATTTGTAATTTTGGTGAAACAGTGGCAATAGGGAGGAATGTTTCGAAAAACTGTTTTTCCAGGAGCAGCATTTTTTTATTGATAAATTTGGACCGTGTTTTGTAGAATAGCGCTGCTTTTAGAAACACAAGACGCCCGTCCCTATTGTTCAAACGTTGCCCTAAAGTTGTATTAAGGTGATTGGTGTCCAGGGCCAGATGGATTTATGCAATTTATGTGCAATTTTATTCTATGTCATTTTAAATGCGCAACAGTACACAATTATTTATTTTTACCGACAAAAGGCGATATTTAATACAGCTTTAGGTATTAGGTATTGAATTTAGGCTCTAAAAAATTCAATGTACCATATGTGGATATATCGTAGATCTCTTAAATTTTAAGACAATTTACAATTTTAACGTTAGTATGTATATATGTAAACAAATGAAATGTTTATTTTACGCTTTATATTTATTGATTATACTCGACGATAATATCAGCTTAATGTAATTTTCAATGTTGTTGGATTTGTAAAATTTTTCCTTTATAAATTTGTATTTTTGTTTTAATAAACATTTGCAAAAGATTGGCTACTAAATTTGTTCTAATAAAAACTTTTTTTATGAAATTTATTATAGGATGAGTTATTGTGGTGCTTAATTGTCGCTTAAGTTTCTATGGATTCTTGTCACTCTGAAGTGCATAATTCACCCTGAATTTACACAATTGCTTTGCCTAAAAAAATTGATACTGTTTGCTTTAAAACAGAATTTTTATATCAGCACCCCATCACAGGTCACAGGTTAAAAAAGAATTTAAGAACCAGTTCTGTCATCTTTTTAGTTTATATAAACAAACATTAATGAAGGGTAAACAACACTTCAATCATATTAATGCTAACTGCAATAAGGACTCAGTGTTAATCTTGCTGTGATGTTCATCGCCTGCAACTCTGTTAAGAGCAACTTACAGGCATAGGGCATCGTTATTGCTGAAACCTGGGCGGAACTTTTGCAACTATTGCACCAGCTGCAATAACCAAGTCTGCCGCATTTGTTGCACACGTCGACCTCGCACTGATCGCTGGAAACCATCAAACGTTCTACCAGCATCATACTGAAATAGATAAACAAAAACTTTGAACACTCAAAATACATGGGATCTCCTTTCCTTAAAAATGTTCATTGCATTAAATAGGTTGTTTATATTATGAAAAAATACAAGAACTGACTGGAGTATCTTGGATTCTGTTTAAATAGTGCATGTGAATGTTGGAAAGTGTGCCCATGATTGAACGGTTGCACTACTAATACTAGTGATTAGATTTTCGATGCAACTCACTGAACATGGGAAGATAATTCGGGACTAGATACATGCAGGGTGATTCAAAAGTAAATGTAAACTTGTAATGTTCATATGAACGGAGGTCTCAAAACTTACCACACTTTGGACGACCAAAAATACTAATCTTCAATTTATTTAAGCACCACCAAAAGCGGTCGTGCTTAAATAAAATTAATACCACATCAGACAATAGTAAATCGCTAATAGTGGAGGTGTTTTTTTTGCTTTTTTTTTGATAAATTTAAATAACTTGATGGGATATGGTCGACAAGTTTAGATAATTCTCAATAAAATACATTTGTTTTTTCGATACATATATGAGAGCTTGAACTTTTAATGCAAATTGATTTCAGAAATAATGGTTCTTTTCATAACTGACATATAACAGTATCTCTTGTTGTAAGAAATATTTCTTTACTTTCTATGAGAACATGCCCCTGAAGTTTAACTTTTTTTTTGAGTCACCCTGAATAGACCTTCAAACCTTGCTCCGTAGCCAATAAGACAATCGCGTTCCATTTCACCCAGTCTGAGACCGCCATCACGGCTTCGACCCTCGGTCGGCTGTCTGGTAAGCACCGCTCTAGGACCGCGACCCCTGAAATAACCATTTAATCATAAAATGGCAAGGTTTGCGAATCGTAAATACCTGGCATGTATTTTGTCCTGTACCATATGCTTCAGCTTCTGATAATATACGGGGCCCGAATAAATATAAGCTTCTAGGGGTTCGCCCGTAATTCCAGAATAAAACACATCTTTGCCTTGATAATTATAGCCGTGTTTCGCCAATTCCTCGCTGACGTCTTCGACTTTTGACCCACCAAATGCTGTCCCGTAATGAAATTTGCCTTAAAATAGGGCAAAATGTTATATATTGGTTACCAAGGCTTCTTTGGTGTTCACCTTCGACTGTACCGGCTTTGCCGGCCAATAGTTCTATCAGTTTTCCGACCGTCATACGAGACGGATAACCATGCGGGTTCATAATAATATCCGGGCATATCCCATATTCATTGAAAGGCATATCCTCTTGTTCTACAATTAATCCTAAAAAATCCCCAAGTGTCTAAAATAATCTAAATGCAATTTAAATCTGCTGTTGTTTATTTATACCCATGTTTTGGATTTATACATTTTATAATTTCGTAAAAAAAGACGTATAAATACTATAAAATACGGAAATGACGGTTATGTGGTCAATTAGGAAATTTTTGAAATTGAAATGATTGATTTGAAGGCTAAAATAATGGGCTAATGGGAACCAAACATTTAACATAACAACTGACCAAAAATTATTCTCCACATACGTAAGTATACCTAGAAAAATACCTAGAAAAATAAAACATCTAATCTGAAAAGCTCACTATCTCCATTTAAAAATTTCTATTAGAGATTTTAATCATAGTAATTTTTTACATTAATCTATGAATCTATGAATGAGTAAATGTCAAATGTAAGAATTTTTACATGATGGTCAATCTTACCCACAACGCCCTTTTGTCCATGCCTGGAACTGAATTTATCGCCAATTTCCGGTCTCCTGGTTTGTCTCAACAATATTTTTATTAGAGTGGTGTCTTCTTCGTTGGTTGTTAATAAAACTTTTTCTATGTAACTTGGTTCGTTGGTCCTGTAGCTCAAAGGTGTTTCCTTGTATTCAATTGATGTGTTTGCGCTGCCCGGTACTGAAGACGCACAGGGTACCGACTTGTTTACCAGAACCTTCAATGGGAACAGTTAATCAGTTAACATTTTTTCGACAATGGATATTCAGATTTTTTTCCTATAATTTACCATTATATTTACGGTTATCAATTATATTGATTCTAAAACACAATGAAATATTATAAATAAGCACGAAATACGAAATTTCGGATCATGTGTCAAAATTGTGTTGTTCGATACGGTTGACCATTGAAACTGGGATGGGAAGAAAAAATACTGTTTCGACATTACGGTGCGATCTAACTTTTCTTATCAAATTATTTGATGTGAATTGCATAACATCGTGAATGTGAACTACCTGTTTGCCTTGAATCATTTCTCCGGGGGCTGCGATTCCGTCATTATCAAGGCAGCTGTGCCTAAAAATCTGTTGATTTGTTGTAGCGTCTAGCAGAGGCCCCTGAATTCTATCAAAAGTCTGATTGGGGTACCTTTTCATTATGCATTTGTTATTTTTGTACACTAAACATCTGCCGAAACCCCTATCAATGGACGCTTTATTTAAAATTAAGGCGTCTTCAATATCATAACCGCTGTAGCTCATCACAGCAATAGTTGCGTTTTGACCAGCTGGAAGTTTGTCAAAATTGGTTAGTTCGATCGACTTGGTTTTCACCATCGGAGCGTGGGGGTAGACGAGGTTATACAGAAGGGTATCCATACGGTTCTTTTGATTGTAGCCAATCGTTCCTGAGAAAATAACAAAATAAGTAGTTTAAGTCAATGGTGTCAAAAAATGTGACAAACTAGAACAGATGATAGAGCAGTCACTTAAAAAAAAATAAGTTGGGTTCGCAAATAATTTTTCAGCTGGTTTATAACTACTTTTGTGTTGAGTCGAACTTGCTAATGTTTTTGCTAACTGAACAGTTAACAGTCAAGCGCTGAAGAAGCCAACAGGATGATTGGCGAAACGTTAGCAGTTCGACTCAACAAAACCCGACACAGGAGGAATTCAGAAGTTTTATAAAAAGTATTACAGTAGCCTCCGTAAGTTTCTTTGAAAAATTAAGTTTGTTGTTGTAGTTTTAATAAAAAAAAAATTCAGGAAATAGCTACCGAAAATAAACGCTGAAGTGATTAATCAAAACTAACCCAACTGACATTAATTTCATTATTAATTGATTTTTGTGGATCAATGTTGAAATTTATTTGTTGATATTAAAGGCATTTGAATTTGGCTTGCTTATGTGCACTAGGAATATCTCAACTGCATATAATTTATTTAAAAAGGCACAAAATGTATCTTCTTCAAATTATTCTACAAATATACATATGTTCCTCATGTTCAAAAAGTTCACCCCTGACAGTAGTTTATAACCTAGGTGTTATCTAACACATGAATAATGACTTATTTACCCATCGCCTGCTTGCCCATGGCGCATTGATAGGTATTCCTTGGTGATTGGTTGTGATGTGGATAAGGCACCAGTCCTGCACACACACCTAGCAATGTAAATGTGGCTATTTCTAAATGGGTTGTTTGATCCGTAATGTCTTTTTCGTAACAAGCAATATAGCTATCATTTTCTTCATTCACGTCCAGAAATTCAATCAAACCGTCATGAAGAAAATCTTCAAAAGTTCTTATACCCTTTTCCAATTCAACCATGTGTCTGTTGGTCACTAACGGTTCTCCATTTTGAACTATAATATATGGCCTACATAACCTTCCTCCATCCGCACTAATGTAGACGCATTTGTGCAGATAACTGGGATAGATGGAAACATAACCAGATATCTTGCCTCTTCGCCGCATTAGCCTAAACACTCTAATCAGTTTGACATAGTTTCGCGTCACCCCCAAAATATTACCTGAAAAATGTTTACATAACACAGAAAATATTAATAATACTGAAATTCCAAATACCGTTCAGAAAAACCAAAAACGCTGAAGGTTGATGTATGGCTATACTGGCTACCATATTGATATCTTGCATCCCACCATTACTGGCCAGCCTTATCAGAGGATATTCATCAATGTCAGTAGTGATATGCGTCATTAGCGCCAAATTTTTTACCAAACCACAGGCCTTAAGATGTAAAATAAATACTGATCGCAATTTGTGCCATGTTTTTTACATACCTCTCCTTCTGGAGTATCGCTGGGACATAGCATACCCCACTGGCTGGGTTGTAAAGATCGGGGTCCGGACACCTTCCGTGTGGACTCAAACTGGGAGTTTACACGAGTCATCATACCCAATGCCGAAATGTAACTTAACCTTGACAATACTTGGGTTACACCAAGCCTCTCCATTCTAAAACGTTTAATTGTCCAATTTCCCTAAAATATATTGCCCCTAAGATATAGGTTCTACTTCTAACTGAAAAAAATTGTAATACCACTTACAAAAAAGCTGTGTCACAGAAGTACTTACTGTTGAAATAGCAAAAACAAGACAGCTAGTGATTAAATCAGGTCTCATGTACTTAATAATATCAAACTGAGTAGCTCTGATCTTGGGTATTGTTTTCTCGGCAATTGCTTTCAAATCAAAATTGAACCTTTTGAAAACATCCTCAAACATTAAGGAGATTAATGATCCAGCTAATTCCATCCTTTTGTTGCCATAGTAATCTCTGTCATCCAAAAATTTTTTATCTGTTTGCCCTTGAATTACTCTTTTCACCATCAAACCCAAGTAAATGGCCTTTAATCTGAAATTAAACTCATCTACGGGAACATGCGCCAAAATTGTTGTCGCTAACAAGTCACGAGCCTCATCTGTGGGCGTTTTGACTTTAGAAGCCGCTATTGCATAGCGTTTTGATATAATTTTACTTCCCAGATATTTGAGGGCAGCTTCCTGAGTATATATTTTTAGTTTATGACACTCTTCTAGTGTGGGAGTCAGTTTATGTATGTCAGAGACACCTATCAATTCACATATTTCTTTATCACTTATGACATTCATTGCTTTAAACACAATTGAAACAGGAATAGCCTAATAATTAAAGAAATACAACTAATCTTAATTTTTGACACACTCATAAACTTACATCTGTAAATAAATTGTGGCCCATGAAATACTTATTTCCTTTTATGAATACTATTGTTCTAGATTTCTTCTCATGGGTTGAACTGGTTACCTGGCACTGAACTCCATATTTGGCATCTTCTACAATCATTCTGTTTTTTGATAACTGTTCTTGTATCAATATAACTTTTTCCTGGCCCTTCACCACAAAATAACCTCCTGGATCCAATGGACATTCATTCATTTTTGCCAACTCATACTCTGATTTATTACTTAGTACACAGTTTGATGATCTAAGCATTATGGGCATTCTAAAAACCAAATTAATCCTTAAACTTAGTACTACAAATTTACAAGCAAATTTAACATACCTTCCAATTAGGAGTCCAGTTTTTGCAACCCTTTGGGACCCTCTACTATATTCAATATCTACAGTAATTGGAGCAGAGTAGGTCATGTCTCTTAATCTACATTCATGGGGAGTTGTGGACTTGCTTATGTTAAATCCCTCATCTACATCAGGCCTTCCAACATGGACATTTGTATACCTGCAATTTTGTTCTCTATTATAAGAGCAGTAAATAAAATAAAACTTCACTTGCTTAATGTAAAACAGTGGATCTGCATCACAGGTGACAGTATTGTTTGCTTCCACAATCTTTTTTATTTCAACATTGATAAAATAATTAAATGAATCTATGTGCTGTTTAACAAGACCTCTCACTTTCAGAAATGCTGGAACGAGTTTCCATTTCTCCTGCAAAAATATAGTGAGCGGTATATTTCATTATACTTTACATCCAGGTTGATATTACTTCAATTTCTTTTATCGGTTGATAGTAATATTTAGGATCTCCAAATAATTCCTTGATGTTATTACTATCTAACATCGTTTATCGGTATACCAACTGAAAAGAAATATCACAATATGCTACCCTTTATAAAAAAAATTCGATTTAAATCAAATATCGTCTTATAAGAGGTACGGGTTTTATCAAAGTATATCTAATCATTATCTATATTCTAATGATAATGAAAAATTCAAAATTTTGTTAATTGAGTACTTAAAATATTATGGTTAATTCCGAGCAGCATCTTCTTTTCACTAACCAGAATCACTCGCCCATTGTCACCAAAAGTTTGAGATATTTGTCACGGACATTATCACAGATTATAAGGATTTGCAGATTCGAGCTGTTTTATAATCTGTGTTGATGAACCCATGTATAATTTTTTTAAAGGGTATGAAATTTGTTATCCAAGTTATATTCCTGAAAAATGTTTTATGCGTTGTTCCTATAATTTTTGGTTGAAAAGTAAATTTCTATTAATATACATAGTTAGACTTTTGGCAAATAGCTACTTTATTTTGTTTACGATTCGTGGTAGCAAGTTCCTAGTACTTAGTTTATGTAACTTTTCTGTGAATAAAAAAGGCAAAAGTTTGTGGATATGATGGAACCATATAGATACTAGAACTATAGATGCCCTGCATAGCCGACAATACAGAAGTTCCATTCAATGTGCGCATGCGTGAGATTCAAAATCTCGCTAATAACCAATGGGCTTACCGCATTCAATAACCAACATGGCCGCTGAAAAATTTCAAAATATGCCTTGATCTGGTTAACTTTATTGGGAAAACGATTTAAGTGTGTGGAAATCGCTGTGTAAAAAGAAAATGACGCAAAGTGCAGATTAGCGGGTGAAATGTAGAGGCACGCGGAAAGAATCAATTCTACGAAAATATTAATACCGCTTTCGGCGCATCACTTTTTACCGTAGCAGGATCTCTATATTATCGAATAGATACATGGATTCAATAAAATTAACACCAATTTTAATACGTAAAAATGGTAACGGACCTCTTTCTGCGATCGTTGCACGTAATATAAATTATGAGAACAAATTAAATTAAATTTTAATAGTTGTTATGAAGCACTGTTTACTTCCTCCCGAGTGCCACTTTTCAATTTAATCCACGTTTCCTCTATTTTCCAGATCATTGAGTCGGGATTATCCTTTCAACTTCACGACAACGACATTTAATTTTTGTTCAAGTGCGAAATCAATTATTTTTAAATTATAGTGGTCTAAAGTCGTTCTTAGCGGTCATTTGAAGAATGCGAATCGAAATTGTAACAAAACTGTTATCTAACTAAACGTTCTTCGATGATTGCGTGCGTATGTGGCGCATATGATTTTTGAAGCCCAAAGTTTCTGAATTGCGGCCTATTGGTTCCGTGCAATTTAAAAGATCACTACGGAGTAAAAACTGTGAACGTTGATTCTAAACTTTTCAAAACTATTGAATACTTTTGGCCGTTTCAAAACACTCCTGTCTCAACTGCTTAAACATCCTAATTGTACTACCGAAAATGCAATCGACGCCTCTGATATTCCGGTTTAATGCGATCTTTCGCTAAGAGCGGCGATAAATCTACTAAAATAGCAAAGTGTGAAGAAAGCTATAATTCCTAATAAAGCAGTCGAGTGGTTCCGCTTTTGGCTTTTTGCTTGTCGGTCGCTCTTAATTTGAAGAGCTTATTATTAACTTGGCGTGTGTTTTTGATAAATTCTGCGGTGCCGGAAAAATCTGATATAGAGCGCGGCTCCATCGTATCGTGCCGTTAAAAGTTTTTCGAATTCGGATGGCGGATGGGATCGTAAAGCGTTATCTAACCTACCGTTAGAATAGGTTTGCGTAATTGCGGCTCTAAAACTGAGACAAGCGGTTGGAAAGATATGTGCTGCGTTTCTGCGATATCGCAAAACAATGGAAAACTGGAAATATCCCAGACGAAAGACATTCAACCCATGAGTAATAAGAGCTGAATGTTTATCTAGGGCAATATTGTTCAGTCTGATTTAGGTGCTCGAATGATATGGACGTGTTTTTATACCGCTGTTTTTGTAAGGGCGAGAGGGCGATAATTTTCAGCGGTCGTTTTAAAGCCGATGGAACATCACTAGAAGGGCGTTATATTAGGCTGTGCCTGGGCATAGGTATATACCAAGTTCATAACATCATACATGATTGTTTGGTCGTTGGTAATGTTTCGGTGCGCCGGGTGCCAAGGCTGTTGTGCCCAGAACAGAAACTCAATAGTTCTGATAGTTCTCGCCGACTTCAAGAGCTCTTAGCCAGAATTTTGGCAAATGAATAATAACCACTGACAAAACCTGTGCAATGCAATGACTGGCCCAAACTTCCAGGGCCTCTACTGAAGGTGCTTGCAGTTTCGTCTGTTGGAAAGATAATGCTTACTGTATTTTGGGATTGCAAAGGGATGATTTTTATCAACGTAGAAACTTATCGGAATTTATTATCCAAACCACTGCGACCAGCACTTATCAAAAAACGGCATGGAAAGAAGCAAGTATTCGTTATTGAAATAGGATAATGTAAGATCGCACATCGCAAGAAAAACCCCCCTTATTTCCCATCTCTCCCAAGAAGTAATTATCGTTTGTTCCAAAATTTGAAAAACTATTACCTAGTGTACTCAGTTAAGTTTAGATTACAATGAAAAACTACATTATAATTTTGATGAAATTTAACTAAATAATAAAAATTATAGCCAAATTTCTAGCACTTTGGAAACATCGCTCGTACCTACATTACTGCAAATATATGCTTAGCATATCAAAGGATGATTATTAATTATAACCAGCATGAAGTTATTAGTAGGTATTCTACAAGATTGTCACCGTTAAAAATAATCACAACAACCACTTAGTTCAGAGAAGAACACACGATTGAAATGATTTCACAAACAGATAAAAATCATGAAATAATATAAAACAAACAATTATTTAACAGTTGACATATGACATCCATCTGTCAAGACGAATTCTTAATTCGATTATTAAACATTGGTGCCAACATATAGATGTAATAAGTTCTCTAGTGTATTGTTTTCGTTACACATTCATCGCGCCTGTGTCGTCTTGAATTCACGGTCGGGTCCATCGTGAGAACTCTGCCACGTTTTCCCCTTTAAATATTCTTTATCGTCCAATAAAATCATATCTACACCACTGCTTATTATACACCCGTCAGCCGAAACTGCATCGGGGGCTTTATTTTTATATTTCCACGCGAAAAATAAATTTATTTGGCGGGGCATTGTTGTAAGCTCGCTCTCACCGAATATTTATTTTTCTTTTTGCCCCCTAAGTACGATATACTTTATCGTATATGTATATGCATATATTTTTTTTATTAAATAAAAACCGGGCGCGCCTGTGAATTACGATTATAGTTTCAAGTTTCAATGCAATGGGCCTGGAGCCCAAAAAAAATCAAGCTTTAGTTCATTCGGGCAGTGCTTTTGGAATCAAGTGCCGTAGCCACCGGGGGACCTTGGGTGATAATGTCCCACGATGACGAAAGAAAATGTTTTTCAATTTTTAGAAATCTCTGAAATACCAAATAGATGTTAATATTTAATAATAAAATAATTAAAATAACATAACCAAAACTGGGATACACAGAACCCCGAGCATAGATAAATACTTTATTTTCTAAAATTAAAAAAAATCGTGGAGATATTTTCATTTGTTTGTACTTTCTCTTTAACTATTTTTCCAAAGGGTGATCAATTTATTTAAGCAATGAAGATTAACCATTAATAAATGAATAACTGTACCAAATTTTGTGAGATAAAAAAATTGCAAACGTGCCCTGAAGTTTGCACCTATGTATCAACAACAATCAATATTTTAGTTAGAATATCAGTTGGAACTTTCAAAATAACTGGGTGAAAACTCTAGAAACCCAATTTTTGTTGCACTGTCTCAAAGATAAAAGAGATTAAACATTTTTCTTACACAACAAAACAAGAAAATTAATTAAACGGTAACGAGATTATAATAAATAAAGTCTAGTTTTTTGATTCGGTAATGTAATTACTATAAATTAAAAAGTTATAATAAAAACCGAACTTAAAAAAAAGTTTTTTGTGCTTTAATATTTCTTTTAGACCAATATCTTTTATTGTAATTCGTTTTTAGATATTAGCAGGGATCAATGCAACAATTTTTAAATGGCAGTAAGAAGAAGAAAAAAACTATATTTTTCTACTCCCATTTGTAAAATACCTAATTACTTGGGAGCACTCGGATGTTTTCGGAGATTTTACCGTACTGTTTGAATTTTTACGTTTGTCAATTCTGTTACGCCATGTCAGTGAATGCATTCGTGTGGTTTTGCAAAAATGTACCCAAAAACTAATACACAGAAAAATATTATGCCATATACAAGAAAATTTAAATACTATGTGTTATAAGCTACAATTAAAATCTAGTGGACTAGTCTGCAAGTAAAGTGACATTTATAATTTAAGTTTCCCACAGAAGTTTTATATATCGTTCGCATGAACTTTAAAGGTTTTTACAGTTTTTATATTAATATCTTGTCAAGACCAATCGTACCATTTTCAAATATCCATGTCTTATCAGTACAAACAAAACAAAATTGAAGGTTAGGGCCTGCTTTTTCTTGCTTATAGACCTTAAAAATTTATTGTCCTAAAAGCTCTATTCTTGGATAATTTTTCTTCCAATTACAGTCTTTTTCTTTAAATGCACTCCTTAATGATCAATTGTAAAATTGAAATAAACAACATAACGTTTTTGAAATTGTGTTTATTCCGCTGTTTATATGAGATATCTTGTCTAACGCACATAAAGAAGATACAACAATAGCAGAACCATGGGCAATAGGTTTAATGACAAATAAATATTTTGTTTTAATGGTACGAAATTTAGTAATTCGATAATATGTTATTATTTTCAATTTGTTAAATTTTGATTTTTTCGTAACGGTCGTAGAAAAAGTATAGTATACAACACGTTGGGTAAACTCTTTATCCCACTCGTTTATTAAGCACTCTCCTCGCTGCGCTTCGCTGCGCTTCGCTCGTGTCAATTAAACTCGTGAATCAAATGCCGTTTACCATCCTTGTTGCATAATATACTATTAAAGATAAGCAATCCGATTGTATATGAGCAAGACATAATAAACTTTGTCATTGATGTTTGAAAGGCTATCGTACTCAGATGGAATAAGATGAAAGCAATTTATAGA